AATAATACTGTTAACTGCAGTGTAAGATAACATGCAGTCACTAAAAGGCTACTTCCTTTTGCATTTTGTTGCACTTTTCATTACATTTGCCGTACCATAATTTTCATCTGCATATGGAACCCCAGGTTAACCCTGTATGCTTTGGACGCATGAAAATCTGAATAGAATTGATCTTCAGCAACCCAGGCTTGTCGTAAGAGGTGACTTAATGGAAGGGTCGTTAACATGTCATTGTTTCCCATTTGGATAGATCAATGCTCATGCTCTCGATCTCTGGATTGTCTTGTCCAGACTTGATATCTTACAGACCGCTCCCATATATATATGGAATATTGCTGAGTACAGCGTTAAACAATAACAAACAAAATGAAACTGTATGCTTGGTGTAAAGTTAAATGTGCATTTTTACACTGGTACATGGGGCGTGGGTAGCCTAATGGTTAAAGCGTTGGCTCGTCTCGCCGAAGACCCGGGTTCGAATCCCCACATGGGTACAATGTGTGAACCCTATTTCTGGTGTCCCCCCGCCGTGATGTTGCTGGAATATTGCTAAAAGCGGCGTAAAACCAAACTCGGTCAGTCAGTACACTGGTACATCCTTGCTTTTCTTTACTTCAGACTGTACGTTGAAGGCTTGCGATGTATGGAAGTGAAAGGGAGTATATACGGAGACAAGTGCTTGATTGAAGATTTCCATGTTGCCCTTGAGAGCTACCTAAAGTTGGCAAATGCCACCTCCATGTTTAAAACAGATCAGTGCTCAGGTATTTATTTGTGATATGGCTTTCATGTATTCTGTAGAATTTAAGATTAATCTTTTGGTTTGTTGCTAGTGGGGTAGCCTAGTGGTTAAAGTGTTCACTTGTCGTGCTGAGACCTGGGTTTGATTCCCCACATGGGTACAATGTGTGAAGCCCATTTCTAGGGTTTCCCATTGTGATAAAGCTGAAATATTGCTGCACATACTCTACTCACTCCTGTCTAGCTTAGTTGAAGATCAACATCACATGATTCATTTTCGGTGTTTGTGGAGCCACTTACAAAAATTAATAATGATAGTTTGAATTTAGTTTAGCTATGTAAATGCTCTATGTTTGATAGCTTGGGAAACATGAAATATACATCTGAAACAAAATCTTGTTGCTTCTGGCCACTGCCAACATCTAATGAAGATGACAAAGTTCTAGTCTGTCTCACAGTCCCTGAACCACATTAATTTCCCTACTGCCAAGCCCTCTCTGCAGTGCTAAAGCCCTAAATAAAGCAAGTCTAGATTTCCTCAGGTCTCCCTAGGGCTCCTTTTCAATATAAATGGGCTTGTTTGTTACCATCAAAATTATATATATTCAGAGACTAAGCCTTAGTCTAACAAAGTTCCTGTTACTGTCAAACACTGTACACAGATATAGAATTGTAGTGCTTGACACTGGTTTCATTATGTTCACAGACAGCATAAAGAACTACACATCACAACCCCGACTGTGTGAGAACCCTGAGCTACTGGCCACCCTGGCTAATGTATCCTGCATGCACTACTACACCAGTTTCGGGGGAGGCTGCAGGTGGGTGTGTCAGCAAACAGGAGTCGGCAGATTTATTGTTGCAGTATTGTGGATGTGTGTAGCTGTTATATTGTTGCAGTATTGTGGATGTGTGTAGCTGTTATATTGTTGCAGTATTGTGGATGTGTGTAGCTGTTATATTGTTGCAGTATTGTGGATGTGTGTAGGTGTAGCTGTTATATTGTTGCAGTATTGTGGATGTGTGTAGCTGTTATATTGTTGCAGTATTGTGGATGTGTGTAGGTGTAGCTGTTATATTGTTGCAGTATTGTGGATGTGTGTAGCTGTTATATTGTTGCAGTATTGTGGATGTGTGTAGCTGTTATATTGTTGCAGTATTGTGGATGTGTGTAGCTGTTATATTGTTGCAGTATTGTGGATGTGTGTTGATGTTATATTGTTGCAGTATTGTGGATGTGTGTAGGTGTTATATTGTTGCAGTATTGTGGATGTGTGTAGCTGTTATATTGTTGCAGTATTGTGGATGTGTGTAGCTGTTATATTGTTGCAGTATTGTGGATGTGTGTAGCTGTTATATTGTTGCAGTATTGTGGATGTGTGTTGATGTTATATTGTTGCAGTATTGTGGATGTGTGTAGGTGTAGCTGTTATATTGTTGCAGTATTGTGGATGTGTGTTGATGTTATATTGTTGCAGTATTGTGGATGTGTGTAGCTGTTATATTGTTGCAGTATTGTGGATGTGTGTAGCTGTTATATTGTTGCAGTATTGTGGATGTGTGTAGCTGTTATATTGTTGCAGTATTGTGGATGTGTGTTGATGTTATATTGTTGCAGTATTGTGGATGTGTGTTGATGTTATATTGTTGCAGTATTGTGGATGTGTGTAGGTGTAGCTGTTATATTGTTGCAGTATTGTGGATGTGTGTAGCTGTTATATTGTTGCAGTATTGTGGATGTGTGTTGATGTTATATTGTTGCAGTATTGTGGATGTGTGTAGCTGTTATATTGTTGCAGTATTGTGGATGTGTGTAGGTGTTATATTGTTGCAGTATTGTGGATGTGTGTAGCTGTTATATTGTTGCAGTATTGTGGATGTTTGTAGCTGTTATATTGTTGCAGTATTGTGGATGTGTGTAGCTGTTATATTGTTGCAGTATTGTGGATGTGTGTTGATGTTATATTGTTGCAGTATTGTGGATGTGTGTAGCTGTTATATTGTTGCAGTATTGTGGATGTGTGTAGGTGTTATATTGTTGCAGTATTGTGGATGTTTGTAGCTGTTATATTGTTGCAGTATTGTGGATGTGTGTAGCTGTTATATTGTTGCAGTATTGTGGATGTGTGTTGATGTTATATTGTTGCAGTATTGTGGATGTGTGTAGCTGTTATATTGTTGCAGTATTTGTGGATGTGTAGCTGTTATATTGTTGCAGCATTGTGGATGTTTGTAGCTGTTATATTGTTGCAGTATTGTGGATGTGTGTAGCTGTTATATTGTTGCAGTATTGTGGATGTGTGTAGTTGTTATATTGTTGCAGTATTGTGGATGTGTGTAGCTGTTATATTGTTGCAGTATTGTGGATGTGTGTAGCTGTTATATTGTTGCAGTATTGTGGATGTGTGTAGCTGTTATATTTTGGAGTATTGTGGATGTGTGTAGCTGTTATATTGTTGCAGTATCCTGGATGTGTGTAGCTGTTATATTGTTGCAGTATTGTGGATGTGTGTAGCTGTTATATTGTTGCAGTATTGTGGATGTGTGTAGCTGTTATATTGTTGCAGTATTGTGGATGTTTGTAGCTGTTATATTGTTGCAGTATTGTGGATGTGTGTAGCTGTTATATTGTTGCAGTATTGTGGATGTGTGTTGATGTTATATTGTTGCAGTATTGTGGATGTGTGTAGCTGTTATATTGTTGCAGTATTGTGGATGTGTGTAGCTGTTATATTGTTGCAGCATTGTGGATGTTTGTAGCTGTTATATTGTTGCAGTATTGTGGATGTGTGTAGCTGTTATATTGTTGCAGTATTGTGGATGTGTGTAGTTGTTATATTGTTGCAGTATTGTGGATGTGTGTAGGTGTTATATTGTTGCAGTATTGTGGATGTGTGTAGCTGTTATATTGTTGCAGTATTGTGGATGTGTGTAGCTGTTATATTTTTTGAGTATTGTGGATGTGTGTAGGTGTTATATTGTTGCAGTATCCTGGATGTGTGTAGCTGTTATATTGTTGCAGTATTGTGGATGTGTGTAGCTGTTATATTGTTGCAGTATTGTGGATGTGTGTAGCTGTTATATTGTTGCAGTATTGTGGATGTGTGTAGATGTTATATTGTTGCAGTATTGTGGATGTGTGTAGCTGTTATATTGTTGCAGTATTGTGGATGTGTGTAGCTGTTATATTGTTGCAGTATTGTGGATGTGTGTAGCTGTTATATTGTTGCAGTTTTTTTGACAGTGCACTGTATTGATTGTTTTATTGTTGCAGTATTTTGGACAATGTGGCAGATTGTGTATTGAGTCTTCTGAACACCTCCAGCATCCATTGTTGCCGTGATGTAATCAAGAAGGCTCTCATCACCAGAGCTGACATCACTGCCCATGCTAACACCAATTTCTCCAACTGTCCTTACAGTCCTGAAGGTGATAGTCAGTGACCATTCTCAATGAACTCAAACTGTATAGGAAATCTCATTACACATATCACTTTGTTGTTGCTGTTAGTGTACCACATACATTTGTGTCGGCAAATTTAAATGAAATATAGTTTTGGAGATGTGAAATTACTTGTTTGATTTATTCTTTCAAGTTTATTTGAATATTTATTTTTCTGATGACAATAAAAGTGGTGCAGTGAGAGTCAAAGAAACATAAAAGCCATTTAAAATAAATTGTTAATTAAATTAAAACACTAAGTGGATAAACATGGAACACATGGCAATATATCCAGAGAAAAGTTTGAAGAAGATATAGCTGTAACACACCTGATGATTGGTTAATTACTTTCTGTTTGATGACTTATAACTTTCTTTCCACAGTCACTACTGGAATGCCATCTGGATATCCACATGGCGGTTCAACAACAATGTATCCTCCACACAGTGGGTCTACCTCCTCCACACAGTGGGTCAACCTCAATGTATCCTCCACACAGTGGGTCAACCTCAATGTATCCTCCACACAGTGGGTCAACCTCAATGTATCCTCCACACAGTGGGTCAACCTCAATGTATCCTCCACACAGTGGGTCAACCTCAATGTATCCTCCACACAGTGGGTCAACCTCAATGTATCCTCCACACAGTGGGTCAACCTCAATGAATCCTCCACAGAGTGGGTCAACCTCAATGTATCCTCCACACAGTGGGTCAACCTCAATGTATCCTCCACACAGTGGGTCAACCTCAATGTATCCAAAGGGTGGTTCAACAACGGATTATCCCTGGATGACCACACCCTCGTACCCACAGCCCATGCAGCCATGCCCCACCGCGGACCCGGTATCCACCCTGTACAGATGGGCTCCCTACTGCTATCACAGCGGCTTCCAGCTGGCCAAACACCAGGCTGACAACATGACGTGCAGGTAATTTGGTAGTCTGTCATACAGGCCCACTTGTTTAGAACTGATCTTCAGCAACCCATGCTTGTCGTAAGAGGCGACTAACTTGATCGGGTGGTCAGGCTCACTGACTTGGTTGACACATGTCATCATATCCTAGTTGCATAGATCTATGCTAATGCTGTTGTTCACTAGATTGTTTGGTCCAAACTTGATTATTTACAGACTGCCGCCATATAGCTGGAATATTGCTGATTGTGGTGTTAAGCAACAAACGAAAGTAAAATATCACATGTATTAGAATCATGACCTAACTGTTGTGTATCGGATTGTGTCACAACCTTTAATACAACCGACATGTTTAACCCATGGTGGCAAAGAATATGTGAAAGGCCCTGATGAATATTTTGTGAGTGCCATTTTTGAAGTTGTAACATACAATATTGTACAAACTTTATGGATAACAACTTCTTTTATATCATGAGTACGACATTTCAATTAGATTCTTGTAGCATTGTCAAGCAGAAATGTAACATGAAGTGGACGGATGTATATATACTGAATGTAACTAAGAAAACATCATAATTAAAATAATTGGATAGGCAATAAGCTGATAAAGTGTACTGAAGATTATGGGGAGGTGGTGAGTGAGCTGGCTAAGGCACCAGGCTAGTGATCCAGCGAGCATGAGGTGCCGGGATAGAGCCCACCTGTGACCGGGTGTAAAAACCTTGGAGTCCAGAATCTTTCAGTGTTGTCACAACCCCTAGTGTATAGTACACATATTCCTGTGCACTTAAAAGAACCAGATGGTTGCCACATGAATACGTGCAAACGCCTAGTTGTGGGTACAGCAACGTACAGTAAACTTGGACAAAGTACTGTGACTATATGTCCCAGTCCACCCAGCTGCGAATGGGTACCTCGTAAGGATGGGAAAGCAGCAATAACTCTGTGCACCTTGTGGCAGCAAGAGTTGTATGCTCTCCAGAGAAGGAGGTTGATAATAAGAAGTGCAGTTGAGATTGACATCCAATGACCGAGGGAAAAAATACCAGCGCCTTGAGCATGCACTAGTGTGTGAATATGTGCGCTATATAAATATCCAATAATAATAATGATAATAATAATAAAGCCAGTGAGTTGACAAATGTCTTCTAGGCCTTTCCCTTTGTCAACCTCACTCTCTGTTTTTGTAGGCAGTGGGGTAGGATAGTGATTCAAGTGTTTGCTCACCATGGGTTTAAGACGCTATATGAATACAGTGTGTGGAACCCATTTCTGGTTTAGTGTTGGGAATCTGAAACCAAATCCACTATCGATTATCGGAGGACTTGTGAACGATTATCGATTATAATTGAAATATATACATTTTTAATGTAATCACCAATTTTAAGGGTTTTCCCCCAGTTTTTTTTCTAATTAATGTTTTTTTATAACTAATACTGTCATGCAATGAAATGCACGCATGCAAGTAAGACACTGGAATTGTAATTAAACAATAAAAGTGGTTAAAATGTTACAATATTCGTGAATATTCATCAAATTAAATGGTTAGTATGCTTAATATTGTTGCAGTATTCAAATTAATCAAAAATAATTTTTTTACAATCGATAATCCTTTTTTATCCTTCTTTCAATCGATTTTCGATTTTTCCGATCCTCAGAACACCACTAATTGCTAAGATGTTATTTAGTGTCTGTTTCCTCCCCAGCTTCTACACTGATCTTGTCAACTGCATCACTCTGGTGACCAACTACAACGGCTTCAACTGCAGTGTCGATGACATCATCATGATGTATCAGCAGAATACTAGCATGTTTGACCTCACCGACTTGAACCATACAGCTTGTACAGGTAAATTATATACCTGCTGTCTAGATGGAGCTTTCATAGGGGTTTCAATATAAGTCAGTCTTGTTGGGTACTGGGTAAGGGTGTAACTGCTGTCCAGAGTGTTGGTTTGGGTGTTGTTACTGTGTTGTTACTGTGTTGTTGCGTAGTGGGTACACTTTCTCAGCAAAGTACAGATTCTGGTACATTTTGGGGGTTGGGTCCCATTCAGAATTCAAACCTGGTTGGTTAATTCACTGACTTTGTGTGCTGGAGACCGCCTCCGTGGTGTAGTGGTTCGAGCATCCTCCTGTAGAGGGAAGGTCGTGGGTTTGATCCCCGGCTGTTTCATACCAAAAGACATTAAATATGGTACTTAATGGCGCTCGGAATTAATGGGAACAACAAGAACTGGTCGGCTCGGAGTCAGTATAATGTGTCCGAGTGTGGTATTCATGCTGAACTGCGGCATGGTATCTCGGTGAGCTAGCACTATAAAACCAGTTTAAGCCTGGGCTAGTACAAACAGCCACACATACACACGCATGCACGTCATCATATGAGCGAAATAGTCATAAGTGCGACGTTAAACCCCGTTTACCTCACCTCACCTTGTGTGCTGGCGATTGGCATGGGTACCTGACACTGAAGTCTGGGTTCGAATCTCTGTTGGCACTAAGTCCACAAAAGTACTAGAAAGTGAAATCTCAAACGTAACTATTGATAATCATGTCTGTGCTCTAAATTTACTGACTGGAGTCTGAAATCCAGTGGCTTACTGACTCTATTGTTTTTAGTGCCTCCTCTGGAGCTCCGCGATACCATGAAGCATTCAGTGTGTGCTGATGAAGTGGTGAGAGACTACGTCTTCAAGTATGGCTGCAGGAACTTCAGCAAGGAAAACATCAAATACGTCACAACGACCAACTTCTGCAGGTCAGTTGCAGCCAGCTCACAGTCTCCAACAACTCTATATAGAAGGGCAATCCCACTCATATCCCACAACAAGTTCTTAAAAATATTCATGATTAACATAATTATTTACATGTTTTTAATAAACTGTGTTATATATATATATATATATATATATTAGGTTAATGTCAAAACAGACATTTACTTTTCTTTCAAAATGCATCTTCTAAAGAACAGAACCATACCAAGTTAAACTTTATTTTTTTAATCATTAAGTTCTTATGGGGGTCCATCTCATGACAATTCCCATGTAAGTGCTCAGTCATAGAGGTTCTTGTATTAGTCTATTCTTCATTATGACAGCTTCATATGCTGTAAGGGGCAATAGCGTAGCCTAGTGTTTAAAGCATTTGCTCATCAGGCCCAAAACTCGGATTAGATTCCACACATGGGTACAATGCGTGAAGCCCATTTCTGATGTCACCGTGATATTGCTGGAATATTGCTAAGAGCAATGTAAAACATAAACTCACTCATTCATATGATCTAAAGCAACGATGAAAGCTCTATGGCTACAAATAAATGATCCATAGCTACAATAAATGACCTTTAGCTGTGATAAGTGATCTATAACTATGATAAATGTCTATAGCTGTGATATATGCTCTATAGCTACATGTCCTACCTCTCCTTGTGTACAGGAAGGTGGCTTCAACCACAGACTGCATACAGACCATGATGGCCTCGTTCGGGGCTACCTGTTCCAGAGAGGAGGCTGGACGTATGCTGAAAAGGATCCCACGTCTCGAGTACCTCGGATGTGTGGACGAGTGCCACAAAAGTAGGATAACTTTCCTAAAAATTCATCTTTCTTTCTATATATGTAAAACAAACCACTGAATCTCATTATCAGTGTGACAGGCACTGGTGGACTTGTCATATAGATATCACACTTTACTAAACAGGGTAGCAAGAAACCTATTTTCATAGTTTCAGTTTCTGTGTGTGTTCTGTGTGTGTGTGTGTGTGTGTGTCTACTACCACCTGTGTGTGTGTGTTTCCTAACCTAGCTGTGTGTGTGTGTTCTAGCTGTGTGTGTGTTCTAGCTGTGTGTGTGTTCTACCTGTGTGTGTGTGTGTGTGTGTCTACCTGTGTGTGTGTGTGTTCTACCTGTGTGTGTGTGTGTGTTCTACCTGTGTGTGTGTGTGTGTGTTCTACCTGTGTACCTGTGTGTGTGTTCTACCTGTGTGTGTGTGTGTCTGTGTGTGTTCTCTGTACCTGTGTGTGTGTGTTCTGGCTGTGTGTGTGTGTTCCCACCTGTGTGTTCTGTGTGTGTGTGTGTGGTTCTAGCCTGTGTGTGTCTCTACCTGTGTGTGTGTGTTCTACCTGTGTGTGTGTGTGTGTGTTCTGGCTGTGTCAGCTCCCTAACCAAGGGTGTCAGCACAGTGGCATCATGTTGAACTTCCACACTGGAATGCTGTGTTGTATTCACAACAAACTCACTGCTAATCAATGTGTGACCCATGAAGATCCGGCTTAGAATTTGTCTTCTTTAATCCATGCTTGTCGTAAGAGGCGACTAACGGGATTGGGTGGTCAAACTTGCTGGCTTGGTTGACACATGTCATCGGTTCCCAATTGCGTAGATGGATGATCATGCTGTTGATCGCTGGATTGTCTGGTCCAGACTCGATTATTTACAGATCACCGCCATATAGCTGGAATATACTTATGCTGATCTTGTTTGCAGACTATAAGCCAGACTACAAGAGCTCCTGCTCTGCCTATTCTCCCTTGACCCAGGAGCTGTCCTTGTGTTCAGACAAGGCCGACATGATCCGTGGGTCCTCCTCCCAATATGACCAGTGCAGGTGAGTGGTGAAGGGTGACAGTAGGGTAGTATAGTGGTTAAAGCATTTGCTTGTCATGCTGAAGATCGGGGTTCGATCCCACGACCTTCCGCTCTCAGGGCGGACGCTCTAACCACTACACCACGGAGGCGGTTAGGTGAGTGGTGAAGGGTGACGGTAGGATAGTATTGTGGTTAAAGCATTTGCTTGTCATGCTGACAATCTGGGTTCGATCTCCACATGGGTTCAAAGTGGGAAGCCTATTTCTGGTGTCCCCTGCCATGATATTGCTGAAATATTTTAAAAGCGGCATTGTACATATTTCGAACTTCTTTAAATTGTCATTACCCTGTGTATAAAGAAAACATTTTCACAATGGTTTATATTCATCAACCTGGAAAGGTAACAAAGGAAAATAGTTTCATACATTTAAGAAAGGCTAGGTATGTTATTTAGAATTACTGCCCTATTTACTTTTCTAAACAACAGGGCCCCGTTTCACAAAGCTCTCGTAAGCCTAATAACTTTTATTGTAACATTCATACTTCCTATGTTACAGTATAGGAGGTACAAATGTTACGAGAACATTTACGAGATCTTAGGCTTACGAGAGCTTTGTGAAACAGGGCCCAGGGGCGGTAGGGTAGCCTAGTGGTTAAAGCAATCGCTTGTCACGCCAAAAAACCCGAGTTCTATTCCCCATATGGGTACATAGTGTGAAGCCCATTTCTGGTGTCCCCTGCCGTGATATTGCTGGAATATTGCTTAAAGTGGCATAAAACTCATTCACTCTCTAGTTGACAAATTACCATATTTAATTTAAAGATGTTGTATTGTAGTAATGACAGGATGCCTAGCCAACCAGATGTTGTCATGTTGTGTGTATGTTGTTCAGCACCTACTGGCCGATGCTGGTCCGTTGTATACAGAAGAGGCTGTATGAGGGTGGGGCTGTCTGCGACGGTTACGGCATTGTGGGAAGACTCCGCAACGACTCGAAACTTCTGACAGAAAAGAGACTTGAGAGCCTGTACAATTGTCATGGTAAGCTGCTCGCTTGAGTATACGATGGACCATTGTCATTATTCTGTTTGCTTTTCAGGACTTTGGGGTAGCCTAGTGGTTAAAGTGTTCGCTCGTCATGCCGAAGACCTGGGTTCCATTCCCCACATGGGTACAATGTGTGAAGTCCATTTCTGGTGTCAGCCACCGTGATATTGCTGGAATATTGCTAAAAGCTGTGTAAAAGCAAATGCACTCACTGTCGCCTTTTCGAGATCAGTACACATGGCACTGAATCAAGCAGGCACCATCATAAAACTGGAACAGCTCAAAGTGGACCATTTATTCCCCTCACTTCTGGAGTGGAGGGTAGCCTTGTGGTTAAAGTGTTCATTCGTCATACCAAAGCCCCGAGCTGATGCGTGAAGCTCATTTCTGATGTTCCCTGCTGTGATTTGGCTGGAGTATGGCTAAAAGTGACAAAAAACTAAACTCACTCACTCTCTTCTGAATCTTTTGCAGAGTTGAAGTTCCCCTCAGTGTGTGAAGAAAAGGATGTAATCACCATGGCAGTAGATGCTTGCAATGTTGACATGAAGAAGTGTGGGTAGGTCCAGTCATATAGTAATACAAACCGAATCCTGACAACAGATTCATCCAGTCACATCACATCCTTTATCACTTGATCACTTAGTGGGTCGGTCAATAACTATAGAAAAAGGTTTTAAACGTAAAAATTGTTAGTGAATCCCTTACATTTTAGTTAGTTATTTAAGGGTGATTAGAGAGTAAGTTTATCAGGCGTGATCAGATTAATACAGCAACCCCTTCTATTCTATGCTCGCTCGCTTGCTTGCCCACCCACTCTCACTCACTCACTCACTCACTCACTCACTCACTCTGTACAATGTTTGACTGTTTCAGACAAGAAGAGATGGTGACTCAGTGCGTACAGTCCCAGCTCGGCAACAAGACTTACCCTGTCTACTGTTCATGGTCACAACTCCGCAGCAATGTGCTCTTTGTGCTGGGCGAGAGGGGACACAGACAGTGCTCAGGTCTGGCTTTAGATGTTGCTTCAACCCAGACAGGGTTTGCATAGGAGAATTGTCCTGATCGGTGCCAAAACAGTTCCATGAAATATATTGATGCTTCATCTTCATGAAAATGTTAGGTGTTTGATTTATCCTGTCATTTAACCATTTGTCTTTCGCTTGATCGTGTTCATCATACCAGCTTCACTTAAAGAGGTTATGGACCGCCTCCGTGGTGTAGTGGATAGAGCGTCTGCCCGGAGAGCCGAAGGTCGTGGGTTCAATCCCCGACCGCGTCATACCAAAAGACGTTAAAATATGGTACTTGTTGGTCCCTGCTTGGCGCTCGGCATTAGTGGGTACAACAAGGACTGGTCGGCTCGGAGTCAGTATAATGTGTCTGAGTGGGGTATTCATGCTTCACTGCGGCATGGTATCTCAGTGAGCTAGCACTATAAAACCAGCTTCAGTCTGGGCTAGTACAAGCAGCCGCACATACACAAACACACGCATGCACGTCGTCATATGAGCGAAATATTCTCAAGCACGACGTTAAACCCAATTTCACCTCACCTAAAGAAGTTATACTTAATTTGTGTGCATGAATATCATCATCATCATCATCATCATCATCATCATCATCATCATCATCATTTGTTCCATATAGATGTCCATGAGGTCAACAGTACAACATTTGTAAAATATGAGTGAACATACATATTGTGCCACAAGCAAAATTCATTTGAATTTAATATATTGCATTTACATTATTTCTTAGTTTAAGCATCTTATTAATGTTCATTAATATTTGACCATTGTAGAAGGTGACCTGAGACTGAATGGCAGTCGATTCGAAATACTGAAGGATGGTAGATGGGAAGGCTTCTGCTATGGACAGAATTGGACGGACTCTGCTGCAGGAGTTGTGTGTCGACAGCTGGGCTACAAGTATGGTCTTGCTGATAGAGGCTACAGGAGTGACAGTGTACCAATCAGTATGAGTGTCACCTGCAAGGGTGATGAGGAGAGGTTTTCTGAGTGTCATGTTGAGAAGATCAAGGCATACTGTGAAGGAGAAGCTCATGTCAGATGCCTCGAGGAAAGTAAGGACACTCATGACAACTAACATGTCTCTTCTTCATATTGCAGACCGCCTCCGTGGTGTAGTGGTTAGAGCGTCCATCGAGAGCGGAAGGTCGCAGGTTCGATCCCCGACCGCGTCATACCAAAAGACGTTAAAATATGGTACTTGTTGGTCCCTGCCTGGCGCTCGGCATTAATGGATACAATAAGGACTGGTCGGCTCGGAGTCAGTATAATGTGTCTGAGTGGGGTATTCATGCTTCACTGCGGCATGGTATCTCAGTGGGCTAGCACTATAAAACCAGCTTAAGTCTGGGCTAGTACAAGCAGCCGCACTTACACATACACACGCATGCACGTCGCCATATGAGCGAAATATTCTCAAGCACGACGTTAAACCCAATTTCACCTCACCTCTTCATATTGCATAAACAGTTTGAAATGCAAGGTTGTTTCTACCTGCACTTCATTTTTAATTATGTATTCATGTAAATACTTATGTCTGTGATGTATTCTTGAGTGCCCTGCCGTGAGAGTGTTGGAATATTGCTAAAAGCAGCGTAAAACTGTACTCACTCTGTGACGTAAAACTGTGAATTGTAACTGATTGCTTTTTAAACCAGGGAAGTTGACTGTTTATTAAACATCTGATTTTCCCACCTCTGTCCTCCATGAACTGACTTGCTTCTATTCTGATTATTCCTTCAGCATGATGGAAGGATATTTAGTATGTGGATGAGTTTTTTTCATCCATATTTTGTCATCCTTTCTTACTACTCAAACTTCTAAATGCTTCTCCGGCAGTGGGGTAGCCTAGTGGTTAAAACATTCGCTCGTCGCACCAAAACCCCGGTTCAATTCCCAATATGGGTACAATGTGTGAAGCCCATTTGTGGTGTTCCCTGCCGTGATATTGCTGAAATATTGCTAAAAGTGGTGTGAAACTGAACTCACTCACACTCTAAATGCCTCTCAAAGAAGTTATATCAGCATGGTGTTGAAACATCTTGATAGTTTAATACTTTTCACCATACCTTGCCTCACCTTACGTGACCTCATCCCTCCATAACTCACTGTTTTTTCCAGGAACCCATTTAGAGATTACAGGCAATAGGTCTGGCTGGGTCGTGGCTGTGCGTGGAGGAAAGGTTGGCTTGATCTGTGACCAGTACGGTTGGGGGGACTCCGAAGCCTCTGTGGCATGCAGAAGTCTGGGTTTTGCCAGCGGGGAGATATTCCAGGATGGGGCACCCCGGCCTCTGCCTCATGCATCTGCCTTCCAGGCCAGCTTAAATTGCAAAGGCAATGAGAACAGCCTGGACTCCTGCTTACAAAGTGCTACGTGGCAAGGGGACCTGGTGGACGTTTCTGGACTCAACCAGAACTACTATTACGGACCATGTTACATGTACAATATGGCCACTGCGTACTGTCATGATAAACGTAAGTGCTGCTAGCTCTTGCTGAGAAGTTGATGATGGTGTAACATTGCATGGATGTATCTGATGATGTCCTTACATTGTCAGTTAACTAATGGGTAACAACCTATTTGGTCATCAGACTTAGAAATTCCATGGTTCAAGCACAATGACAATATCTGACCCTTCTATGTAAGAGATGGTGTGACATTGTTTCCCCAGTTAAATGTAATGTTAGGGCGGTGGGGTAGGCTAGTGGTTATTAAAGCGTTAGATCGTCACGCTGAAGGCTCAGGTTCGATTCCCCACATGGGTACAGTGTATGAAGCCCATTTCTGGTGTCCCCCGCTGTAATATTGTTGGAATATTGCTAAAAGTGGCGTAAAACCCAACTCACTCACTCGCTAAATGTAATATTTATAATGGCTGCAAAAAAGGACTTTGAGTTTGCATACTTTTTAGGTCAGTACTGACATTGGCTGAAAACTGTAATATTTTTACTGGTTTGTATGATATGTAGGGCATTGTGGGGTAGCCTATAGGGCATTTGCCCGCCAAGTCGAAGACCCAGGTTTGATTCCCTACATGAGTACAATGTGTGAAGCCCATTTCTTGTGTCCCCTCCTTCATATTGCAGGAATATTGTTATGGCAACATAAAACTAAATGCACTCACTCTTTCTTGTGTGAAACATTTGGGAACATTGTAAGCCATGAATTTATTGAAGGAGAATTTAGGGGAAACTTTCTTTTTTTTTAGCATTGTGTTGTTTCTTTATGTAATACTGGAGTGATTATTCCTTGAATGCAACCCACAATGATTGTAATTTCATTTTCATAACTGACATTTACTCTGTCTTTGTTCACTGTTTCAGTGAGACTTCACAGGAAATATGGCAACTCTACTGGAATTGTGTTGATGAAAAATGCAACTTCAACATACGCCATCTCCAATGATGGATTTGATGACAAGGCTGCCAGTGTTGTGTGCAGACAGTTAGGGTTCGAGAAAGGTGGTATCTCCCTTGGCTTCAATCCTTTTTCAAGTTACTACACCATTCACAGTTTAGCTAACTTGACATGCAACGGAGATGAGGCTGATCTGATGGAGTGTGAGCACAACGGGACATACTACAGTTATTCATCAACACCGCCTGCGGTAGTCAAGTGTACAACAGACCAGGAGGAAGGTGAGATGAAAATGCTGCTTGACCTTGTAGGTCAGGGTGACGGGAACATGTTCCTTGACCTTGTGAATCACGGTGAGGGAAACTTGTTGCTTGACCTTGAAGGTCAAGGTGAGGGGAACATGTTGCTTGATTTTGTAGGTCGAGATGAGGGGAACGTGCTGCTTGACCTTGTAGGTCGAGGCGAGGGGAACATGTTGCTTGACCTTGTAGGTCGAGGTGAGGGAAACATGTTGCTTGACCTTGAACGTCAAGGTGAGGGAAACATGCTGCTTGACCTTGTAGGTCGAGGTGAGGGGACCATGTTGCTTGACCTTGTAGGTCGAGGTGAGGGGACCATGTAGCTTGACCTTGTAGGTCAAGGTCATGGACTGGAATAAGTGTCATCTGTATTTTAGAGTGTCAGATGGTGATGTTTATATTTCCAGACCATGTTCCTTGACCTTGTGAATCACGGTGAGGGAAACTTGTTGCTTGACCTTGAAGGTCAAGGTGAGGGAAACATGTTGCATGGACTGGAATAAGTGTCATCTGTATTTTAGAGTGTAGGATGGTGATGTTTATATTTCCAACAAATCAATAGTAATGTCAGCATATATGTAAATCCTGTTATTACAGATTCCCTAAGTGTCTCATTCTCTTCCCACAGAAGTTAGTTGTCATATCTTCCTACGAACCTCTGATCTAATACGGCCCTTTCATGGTGTTCATGAGTGTTCAGGATTCGTGATTAGTTGCAATCAGATTTAGTTGTGCAATCAGCGATGTTGTTTCAAAAGTGATCATTCGCAAGGCCTCAGTAATTTCCGTATGCTTTGGGAAAACCAGAACCTCTTCCCCTGCACGATGCGCAAACGATTCTTCTTGACAGAACTCAGTCATGTAATGGCGGATCAGTGGCGTCTTCATTGCCCTCGTTCACAACGGACAAGCTAGCCATTAGATGTCTTGTGTGTCACATCAACACAAGTCCCCAGCAGAGGTGGGATATTTGTGGCCCCACATTTGCTTGTGTTAGTCGAGGTGGATCTAAGTCGATGTAACACGTGTTCTGATTAGATGGAAAGAAGGGAGATAATTTGTGTTGTGATTTTTTTTGCCGCTAGAGGATTTTATGAGAACTGGGAAATTTGGCTGTATTAGAACAGATGTTCGTAGGAAGATAAGACAAGTTACCTCTGTGGGAAGAGAATGTAAGTGACTTAGAGTCGAAATTAAAGTTGATAATTCTTGAATAAGAAATATTCCTCACAGTAATACAACCAAACAAGAAATATTCTCATCTGATGTAGAAATTATGCAAATAATGGGTATTGAATAGTCATTTTTAGTCCACTACAATTGTCACTTACTCTTGGACCCATTTGGACCCTCAAAAACACCAAACCCTGTATCAGCTAAGTTCTGTAATATTTTTAAAATGGTTTCATCCCTGTTGCAATTGCATCTTGAACAAATCAAGGGTAATCCTCTAAGGTCATCTACACATTTACCACCCTAAAATATAACCGGTATTCTAATTCAACTTAGTATGTAACACGAGTTCTGATTGGTCAATGCTATAAATTTCCGACCGTATATGCTGATTATACGGTCGGAATTTGAAAACCTATTTACCAAAACCTTTGAATGTATCTATACACTATTGGGGTAAAGCTGTTTTTCAGGGCATTGTCATTTGCAGAAGCCCTAGGTCAGTTTAACTCCCATATCCTGCTAAAATGGATGGAATTTGTGTTTAAAAAAACAAAACAGTATCATAAATTTTATTGTAAGTTCAAACAACTTGCCGGTACTCGCAACAGGCTGTTGACCCAACACTGTTAGATCATGAAACAAGATTTATGACGTCATTATGGAACGTGACATCACCTGTTGTGACGCCATTTGACAACAGAACAGAGAGTGGCCCGTAGTTGAGGAATCACCGGGCCATTATCATTTTCAGCGGCCCGCTTATTTCTGATAACTAGAGGGCGGTTTCATGACAATTCCGTCCAATTTAGGTATAACACAATAATTTATTCATCATTGTCAGATTTAGTCGGTGTGCACATAATAAACGTGTTGAAGTTTGAAAGGGAACTACTTTTTCTGGCGATGGTGTAAGTTCAAGGAGTGATATGATTTACCTTTGACCTAGAAACACTTTGGCTTAAATAATGAATTTCCTTCACGAAAAAAACAGTGTAAAAACGAGTTGAATTAGAATGGGGATTCGTCAATTCGTCAAACACAGTACAGTTATCCCCTTACTGACATACAGTGCTCCACACTGCTCATGGCAGCAAATTGCATGACATCTTTTAAGGCTAAAATCTGTTTTGCTACATTATTGATAAATTACTGATTGTTTGGATTTTCTAAATAATTTTAAAATGAAAACTAATGAGATTCATTACTTGTAAGTAAATGTTGGTGCTATGCTCTGTGTACTGTAGTCTAAACATTGTGATACCATGATTATAGAGAGGCACTTCAATCTCCAGATCAAACAAGGCAGTCCGGATTGCCATGCTCGTATCGCATGACTAACAAATAAATGCCACATTATGGCAGAAACATCAGTCAACTGAAAAGATATATACAGTGTCGCTAAGAAAGTTTGGATATCATATTTCTTACGAAACCGTGTTTTACAATTTGATGAAGAATAATGTTTTGTTTGGATCATAGCAACCACCAAGGCAGTCAAATAACTTGATGCTATCTTTGATGGTCATAAAAAGACTTTCAGTATGACATATTTCTTTGCCTTGCCCTGCAGTGCCAGACATGGAGATGAAGGTCAGCAATGACGGTCGTGTCATGGTTTCACGTTACGGAATATTTGGAACAATCTGCAATGATGGATGGACCAACAAGGAAGCTGAGACAGTCTGCTCCACCATGGGCTATGATGCTGGTTATGCTAAGAGACTGTATGGCCAAGGGTCCGAGGTTCCGAAATGGCTGTACAATGTGACATGTGCTGATGGAGATAAGTCTCTCCTTGAATGTAACTCTTCCAAGATGACAGGTAGCTACAGCTGCTACTACGATGCTGGAGTCTATTGCTTTAACAGATCAGAAGGTGAGTTGTGACCATCAATAATACCAAAATAAAGTGATCATGCTGTTTAGTGTTCAGGTGTTTATAGCCTACTGGTTGAAGCGTCCTTTTGCCATGCCAAAGATTCGGCTTGATTTTCCCACATGGGTACAATGTGTGAAACTCATTCCTGGTGCCCACCGTCTTGATACTGCTGGAATATTACTAAAAGCGGTATAAAACCATACTCACTCACTCAAGCAAAAATATTAATGTCAGCATGTAGCATCAATGTAAAGCATGCCAGGAGAGTGATCTCCCCTTTGAAACCAAAGTCATCGTTTCATTACAAGTCCTAAGACTATCTACATAATGTGCCTGGGCCGGCAGTCCTGCAGACACAGTATTTCTAGAATGTTTATAAGCAGTGATGAAGGGAAATGAGGGATAAAGTATGGACAACAGTCTGTCTGTCAATATGCAGGTAGGCGGAGACAGGGGCATAGTGGTCTGTGGCATTGCTTTCATAATGTTGACTTTTGTCTCTTAACCAGAATTTGATTTTGATTGGTTTGAACCCTGGACATATGATCCTTTATCTTCCAGTGCCATACGTGAGTGAATGAGTTTAGTTTAATATCATCTGAACATCTGAACTGGGCTTCACACACGGTACCCATGTGAGGAATCGAAACCTGAGTCTTCGGCTTGACGAGCGAACGTTTTAACCACTAGCCACTAACCTGTGCCATACCCAATTGGATATGTTAGTGTTGGTTAGCAGTGTTTCATTAAGCTTTTCTCATAAATTATTTACCAGTAATTGAGGTAACCGAAATACTGTGTAAGCTGTTTCTGATGTTATCGATCAGTAAGGTAGCCTGCTGGTTAAGGTGTTCACTCATCACGCTGAAGACCCGTGTTTGATTCCCCACATGGACAAAATGTGTGACGCCCATACCTGGTGTCCCCCATTACTGGAATATTTCTAAAAGCGACGTAAAACTAAACTCACTCATTCTAAACCCATCCATTCTACAAACAGACTATGACATCTACTGGGTTGTTTTTCCTTCAGTTCCAACCTACTCTCTGACAAATGGACACTATGGCTATGTGATGGCAACTCTCAAGAATGAGAAGGGCATTGCCTGCAGCAACTACTTGAGCAGCTCCAAAGCTCTTGTCATATGCCGCAGCCTCGGCTACTACACCGGAGAGCCCTACACTGACCCCTTAGCTATTCCTGAGACCACCACTGCTTGGTATGCCAGTTCGATGTACTGTTCAGGAGACGAGGCTTCTCTGGATGTCTGTATGCAGGCTAACTGGACAAAGCAGGACATCAGTGGGAAACAGAACTCGTCGGACATGTATTATACGTCAAATTGCCGGAATAATCTGTTCAGAGTATTCTGTTATGGAAGGGGTAAGTAATAGTAATTGAATAAATGATTTCTTTATCAATATTTCACAGTGAATGGGTAGTGTCCTGGTAAAGAACCTTGGCTAAGGTCAAGCTCTTGTAATCAGTGTCTGAAACAGTGTCATAATGTCAAAGAATCTGAAACAGTGTTATAGTGTCATTGTATCGGAAACAGTGTCAGTATTCCTCTGAAACAGTGTCATAATGTCAAAGTATCTGAAACAGTGTCATTGTTTTTGAAACAGTGTCATAGTATCATTGTATCTCAAACAGTGTCATAGTATCATTGTATCTCAAACAGTGTCATAGTATCATTGTATTTGAAACAGTGTCGTAGTATCTTTGTATCTGAAACTGTCATTGTATCTGAAACAGTGTCATAGTGTCGTATCTGAAACAGTGTCATGATATTATTGTATCTGAAACAGTGTCGTAGTGTCCAAAACAGTGTCATAATGTCAAAGTATCTCAAACAGTGTCATAATGTCAGAAACAGTGTCATAGTGTCCAAGTAGCATTCAAGTTTAGAAGTTTTGTGCATTTAAATTTAGTTTCCTTGAACCTTGTCCACCTTTCAAACTAAGCCCGCTTATGGCACTCAAGAATTAGACATTAATCATTCAACAAATGATTGCAAATTGTTACCCAACTTATACAACTTTCAGTGAGGCTTCACACAAAGTTCTTCAACAAGACAGGGGTCCTGCAAGTTGCGTCCAGTGAAGTTAAAGAATCCTACAGAACTTTCTGTGCCGACAACTTCACAGATGCTGCTGCTCAAGTTGCATGCCAGGAACTGGGTCTGGCCAAGAGCGGCATTGTACTTCCTGCAGGGACTTATGGGAACATGTATGCAAGCATCGGGTGGGACAATGTCACCTGTGATGGAACTGAATCCTCCATTCTTAACTGCAGCAAACCTTCTTCATCGTATTCTTGTTATACGAGCTATGCATCAATCCTGTGTGATGACAAGCCAGATACAGAGGGTGAGAGATACCATAGATGCAATTTTTGGCAGAAATATCCTTACACAAATTCTGACAGTACTATTAATATGAATTTTGTAAATGTGCATTAGACTCGATATTGATCTTGCCACCACATTTCCAACAATTCAATAATCACCAGAATTTTACGTGATGCAGAAATGTGCACCCAGTTCGCGATAATGTATAGTACTGATGCAGGGTGAGCCCTCAATGATATTCACACAACCAAATTCTGGACATTCTTGAAATACTCAGGTCCTGTATTTGAAGTGTTTATTAGATGTTACAGTACACGACACCATTTCATTACTTCACAGGACCTAAATATTACCAGTAAGGACCCTTGAAATTAGTATTTGGGGTTCCTCTTGACCCTTAGCACCTGTGAATATCCGTGTTAGAATTGATCTCCGGTAACCCATGTCGTAAGAGGCGACTAACAGGATGGGGTGGTCAGGCTCGCTGACTTGGTTGACACATATCATTGGTTCCCAATTGCATAGATGGATACTGATGCTGTTGATCACTGGATTGTCTGGTTCAGACTTGTTTACAGACCGCCACCATATAGCTGTAATATTGCTGAGTGCAGCGTAAACTAAACTCGCTCACTCTTGACCCTTAGTAGGGTGTCCCCCTTTTCCCATTGTGATATTGCTGAAATATTGCTAAAGGAGACATTTTGAAACCTTCGTAGCATCAGGTAGCTGGTTTCTACCTCATACTTTGTGAAATGTGTACATTTAGGTTTTAGCTGCAGGAATATTGCTTGATAAAAAGTCATCCCTCTTATATTGCATAGATCAATGCTCATGCTGTTGATCACTGGATTGTCCGGTCCAGACTCGATTATTTACAAACCACTGCCATATACCTGGAAACAACAAATGAACAAACATCCCTCTTCCAATACAATACTGGTTGATTATATTTCAGCACCTATCACAGAAATCAAGGTTTCGGAAGATGGTCGAGTCCTTGTGAAGAGACACGGCTACTGGGGAACAGTGTGCGGCAGTGGATGGACTGAAACAGATGCCAATGTTGTCTGCCAGGCTCTGGGTTATGATGCAGGCTTTAACCAGACAAAATACAGGTCGCAGTCAGACCCTCAGTGGCTTGGCCAAGTCAACTGTACAGGGTCGGAGAAGTCGCTGACGGACTGTAAGGCTGGTGATGGGAAATGCTGGAGTAGCAGCAAAGTTGCGGCTGTGAAGTGTTACAACACCAGCGACTGTAAGTAGTGTATATTCCTTGTTTTTGTATGTGCTTAAGTGTCATTAATATGATGATTAAACTGCCCTTGTAGCAGACTTGTGCCACCACAGTTTATTGAAGAAAACCCTTTTTACCAAATGTTACCAATCTGGCATAATCAAAATGATTTGCATTTTTGTTGCAAGACTTTTTAGTTTACAGTTTAGCAATAATTCAAAGATTATTTTGTAAAATAACCTCAAATGAAGGGGACAACAACAGGGGTGGAAATAACCCATTGCCCGACGTCCGAGTCCAGTGTGTTTTTCTGTCGGGCAAGCAATTTTGTATATCACGCTGTACCGGTGTCCAGTTGACTTTCCAATATTAATAATGTTGTTTATTTAAAAACAACAACAAGAAAACGTCCGGTATAGTGGAAAAATGATTGGACAAGTGATTTTGCATGTGCCACTGTACCGGAGTACACTAGCAATTTTAAAGTTATTTCCATGCACCATTCTTGGGAGACATCCTTCATTTCTGTATAATCCTTTGTTACTTATGTCATACTCCACACAAGTGAAGATTAATAGTATTTTATTTCAAATATTTATTTCAGTGGCTAAGTATACTTTCCACCCCCAAGCCGGCTCCCCGAACACTGGTTTTGTGATGGTGAACTTCATGGGTCTGTCGTACCCGTTGTGTGACTGGCAGTACGTGTCCGAACAGGATGTCAACACTTTGTGTCGATATTTCGGTTTCCCTGCTGGAAAGAAAGTGGATGCCCAGCATCACAACCAGTCCAGCTATGACTATGCATGGGCGACAGACTTTGACTGCAGCAGTGAAGATCAGGACCCTAATGCATGCTCCGGGAACTGGACAGTCTCAAGTACAGACTATTACAGACGTTGTTACAGCAACCTTGTCAAATTGTCCTGTGCAAAAGAAGGTAAGAATGTAGTACCAAGGATGACAATTATAACAATATTGGTTAATGATTATGATACTTAGAGCTAGTGAGTGAGCTGGTTTTACATTGCTTTTAGCTAATTCTAGTAATATCACGACAGAGGACATCAGAAATGGGCTTTATACACTGTACCTATATGGGAAATAAACTGGGTCTTCAGCGTGACGAGCAGACAGTTTAACCACTAGAGTACCCCCACTGCACCTGCACCTATAATACTTAGAAAGAAATAATTCCACTTAAAATGAAAGTGAAATACCTTAAAAAAATAGTCACTTACAGGATATTGGACTGACTACTGTCATAGTCACATGGTTTACTGGATGTCTCCCCGATCACCCATCACTAGTTTACTGGGATGTCTTCTCAATCACCCATCACTAGTTTACTGGATGTCTTCTCAATCACTCATCACTAGCTTGATGCATGTCTCCCCGTTCACTCATCACTAGTTTACTGGATGTCTTTCCGATCACCCATAGTTAGTTTACTGGTATGTCTCCCCGATCACTCATCACTAGTTTACTGGTATGTCTCCCCGATCACCCATCACTAGTTTACTGGTATGTCTCTCGATCACCCATCACTAGTTTACTGGTATGTCTCCCGATCACTCATCACTAGTTTACTGGTATGTCTCCCGATCACCATCAGTTAGTTTACTGGTATGTCTCCCGATCACCCATCACTAGTTTACTGGTATGTCTTATCGTATGTTCACCCATCACTAGTTTACTGGTATGTCTCCCGATCACCCATCACTAGTTTACTGGTATGTCTCCCGATCTCATCACTCATCACTAGTTTACTGTATGTATGTCTCCCGATCACCCATCACTAGTTTACTGGATGTCTCCCGATCACTCATCACTAGTTTACTGGTATGTTTTCCCGATCACCCATCACTAGTTTACTGGTATGTCTCCCCGATCACCCATCACTAGTTTACTGGTATGTCTCCCCGATCACCCATCACTAGTTTACTGGTATGTCTCCCCGATCACCCATCACTAGTTTACTGGTATGTCTCCCGATCACCCATCACTAGTTTACTGGTATGTCTCCCGATCACCCATCACTAGTTTACTGGTATGTCCCGATCCCCGATCACCCATCACTAGTTTACTGGTATGTCTCCCCGATCACCCATCACTAGTTTACTGGTATGTCTCCCGATCACCCATCACTAGTTTACTGGTATGTCTCCCCGATCACCCATCACTAGTTTACTGGTATGTCTCCCCGATCACCCATCACTAGTTTACTGGTATGTCTCCCTGATCACCCATCACTAGTTTACTGGTATGTCTCCGATCACCCATCACCCATCACTAGTTTACTGTATATGTCACCCATTGTCCCCGATCACCCATCACTAGTTTACTGGTATGTCTCCCGATCACCCATCACTAGTTTACTGGTATGTCTCCCCATCACCCATCACTAGTTTACTGGTATGTCTCCCCGATCACCCATCACTAGTTTACTGGTATGTCTCCCCGATCACCCATCACTAGTTTACTGGTATGTCTCCCGATCACCCATCACTAGTTTACTGGTATGTCTCTCCCGATCACCCATCACTAGTTTACTGGTATGTCTCCCTGGATCACCCATCACATAGTTTACTGGTATGTCTCCCCATCACTAGTTTACGATCACCCATCACTAGTTTACTGGTATGTCTCCCCGATCACCCATCACTAGTTTACTGGTATGTCTCCCTGATCATTACTGGTTTACTGGTATGTTTCCTGGATCACCCATCACTAGTTTACTGGTATGTCTCTCCACCGATCACTAGTTTACATCACTAGTTTACTGGTATGTCTCCCCGATCACCCATCACTAGTTTACTGGTATGTCTCCCCGATCACCCATCACTAGTTTACTGGTATGTCTCCCCGATCACCCATCACTAGTTTACTGGTATGTCTCCCCGATCACCCATCACTAGTTTACTGGTATGTCTGCATCACCATTGCTAGTTTACTGGATCCGATCACCCATCACTAGTTTACTGGTATGTCTCCCCATCACCCATCACTAATTTACTGGTATGTCTCCCGATCACCCATCACTAGTTTACTGGTATGTTTTCCGATCACCCGCCAGTTTACAACTGATGTTGCTGAAATTTTGATCACCCATAGTTAATTTACTGGTAAACCCATCACTAACTGGATTGACATGGTCAGGCTCACTGACTTTCGCGGTATTTTGAAATATTGTTTTAAAAAACGTTGTACTCATTCACTACTTATTTAAAAGGGTGGTGGGGCAGCCTAATGGTTAAAGCATTTGTTCATCACACTGAAGATCTGGGTTCGATTCCACACATGAGTACAATGTGTGAAGCCCATTTCTGGTGTCCACCGCCATTATGTTGTTGTAATATCTCCCGCTCATCACCTGCATAAAACCAGGGCGGATACCTCACTCAATCACTCACTCAATTGTCCATCTCCCACCATCTCTTCTTCTCCCCAAACCCTAAATATCCCCTATATGTCAACCCTTCCCCCATCTCCCATCTCCCATCTCCCCAAAATCTCACTCCGGTCTCACTCCCCTCTCACATCTCCTGGCCAGTATAAGATGACTAGTTCCCACATTTGCAATTTCGATGCTCACTCACTCACTCTTGTTTGTGTCACGATATGGCTGAAATATTGCCGATGTAACGTTAAATAATAACTCACTCACTCACTCACTCACTCCTGTTTGCCTCCTCGCCTCCTCAGTCTCCCTCTACCCAGACTCTAGCAGTAGCGGGCCACTGGTTGTGTATTTCGGCAAGAGCAGCTACAAGGTGTGTGCCGAGAACTTCACCAACATCGCTGCTGATGTTGCTTGTCGGGAAATGGGCTTCAAGGGTGGTTCCATGATATCGTCAGTGGCGTACAAACATCCAAGCTACTCCTATGGCATGACAGACGTGAACTGTACAGGCACTGAGAGGTCCATCAAGGAGTGTAGCAGTCGGACGCATCCCGAGTATATCTACTGCAGCAGTCAGCAATTTGTTTCTTTGAAGTGTTACCATGGTGATGGCCCAGGTAATAGTCTCTTTTTTTTCTAGTCTATTACATTGTGTGATTTATTCTGTCATGGTTCAATGTAAGGCTTCTGTGAAGATCCGGGTTAGAATTGGTCTTCAGTAACTCATGCTTGTCGTAAGAGGCGACTAGCGAGATCGAGTGGACAGATTTGTCATCGTATCCCAATTGCGTAGATCAATGCTGTTGATCACTGGATTGTCAGGTCCAGACTGGATTATTTACAGACTGCTGCCATCTAGCTGGAATATTGCTAAGTGCAGCATTAAACAACAAACAAATGAAGGTGCCCCACTGCTCTTTTCAGTGTGGGTCAGGTTAAGGCCAAGGTCGTCAATGGTGAACGGGCACAACATAATTTTGTTTGCTAGCGATGAATAAATATACGTAAACTCATTATGACAGTGAGATGTAAGTGTCTCCGAAAGAATGGCGACTTGTGTGCTGACAGGTGCCATCAGTTCAACATGTTTTGGTGAATGTTGTGTGTATTTTCTTTGAAATAAACAAGAAAATGGGTGAGTTACCGCTACAAATTCTGAGCAGGGATTTTGGCTTGGAATCGAGAAATCACGATTTTTCGAGCTTCCGAAGACCCTAGCTTCCAAAGTACTGCTTCGATTTTTATGCTGTATGTCTCATTTTGTAGGTAAATCTATTGGTTTGAAATGTGTGCATACTTTAAATGGGATAAATACAGTGAGCATTGTTGAATTTGCCCTGAAACGAACTTAGTGTGTTGACCTCGTTACATCGCTTTCCTTTTATATAGTACTAAGACCCCGTCAGTGACAGTATATACCTTGATGGCAGTTTTTAGCGTTACAAACCCCTGTGACCCAGGCTAGCTATTCTCGAAACGTAAATAGCCCTACGAACTTCTTAAGCCCATTCTTAACACATTGGCTACGATCAAAGTTAAGAATTATTATGGCTACGAACGTTTTGAGAATAAGGGCCAAGAGCCTTAAGCTTCTTTGAATGTGGTAATAAGAAGGGGTGGTTGGAGTAGCCTAGTGGTTAAAGTTTTGGCCTAACACGACGAAGCGTGGGGTTTCATTCTGCACAAGGGTAAATTGTCACTAACCAGAATGTGTCATAGTGCTGGTAATATTGTACCCTCATAATTTTGGCTCATTCAGTGATGCAGACTCGGATTACTACAGACCATTCTGAAATTGCTGGAATATTGCTCTTGCAAAAATCTCATTAACTCACTCCCAAAAGCATTTGACATAGCCTAGTGGTCAAACATTCATGTATGCTGAAAATCAGGGTTAGATTCCACACTTGAGTACAATGTATGAAGCCCATTCCATTCATTTTCCGACACAATATTGTTGGAATATTTCTAAAAACTACATTGTTCAAGTGGATTGTTGAAGCCCATTCATTTGGTTGTCTAACAGAATGATGCTGGAGTATTCTAAAAGCAGCGTAAAAGCCACACTCACTCACTTACAAAAGCAAAGACACTGTGTTATCCCTTGCAGATGGAAGCAACGGCACAACAGGAGGTGATATGGCTGTGAAACTGAGGGGCATAAACAACGTGGTTGTCATCCAGAAAGACAACATCTGGTTCAGCCTCTGCGGTAACAACTGGAGCGACAAGGAGGCATCGGTCGTGTGCCGAAACATGGGCTACAAAGAGGGCCTGGCAAGCCAGTCCCACGCCAGCTCCGACATGCCCATCTCGAAGTACAGGTTCAACTGCACAGGATCAGAGTCGAGTCTTTCCGGCTGTTCCTACTGGACCAGTCCTCCGGATCAAAGGATTTGCTACCAATCTGCTGTAGCTACATGTCTCAATAAACGTAAGCAGTGAACCTTCATGAGAAATCAGACTGATTTTGAGACATATACAGAACCTCCTAATCCCAGTGAACACCCTGCCTGTGTTAGTTGAGACTGTTTGTCACTGGATTGTCTGGTCCAGACTGGATTATTTACAGACCTCTGCCGTATAGCTGGAATATTGCTGAGTGGGGCGTTATACAACAAGCAAAACAATTCAAACTGTCAGATAAATGCCCTAATCCTGTTTCTTAAATGTCATCTCTTTATAAAAGATTCTTCACCGTCAGACATTTAGAAAAGTCTTTTTTTTCTGACCAGTAATTCTGCATCTGTACACTGTGATATACCACACTACTATAGTCTTAATGCTTAGTCACCTTTCTGTGTAGCTCTGATATGACATCACTGCTATGTGTGTGGTTTTGATATGACATCACTGCTATGTGTGTGACATCACTGCTATGTATGTGACATCACTGCTATGTGTGTGACATCACTGCTATGTGTGTGGTTTTGATATGACATCACTGCTATGTGTGTGGTTTTGATATGACATCACTGTTATTCTGTGTACTACTGATGTGATGTCACTGATATTATTGCTGCTACAATTTGATGTATTTTTCTCTTCTTGTCCAGGAATTGGATTTTCAATCCAAGGAGGCATCGATGCCAAATCTGGCTGGGTATTGGCTGTTGATGGGGACCAATCTGGCCTCATCTGTGACTATGATGGATGGAGCGATGAAGACGCAGCTAAAGTGTGTCAGTCTCAGGGATACACATCGGGAGAGAAACTACCAGCACCACCGGAGAAGAAACCTACAGACAGCATTCTGATGGCCACGTTTCAGTGCAGTGGCTCCGAGACCGATATCAACGCCTGCAGCAGAAAGCAACCAAATCAGACCTATTTCTTCTTCAGATCGGAAAATTACACTGCTTGCAATTCTTGGACTGTTGCAACAGCCAGTTGTTACGGACGAGGTACAGTAGTACTGGAGTTTATGTGTTCATGGAATGAATTTTCAGGACATGCAATAAATGGATGAAGAACATTGAACAGAATCTGAAATTCTGAAAATGTTCCAGAAGTGGTCATTATTCACTAGGCTGTATGGCTGTGTAATGGCAAAAAAGTTCTGTGTTGTTTTATGACTGTAACAAATTGGGAACTAATGGGTTTAGAGTTAGTACCATTCGGGATTCGAACCCACACTTTCAGAGTCAGGCACACAAAGTCAGCTTGACATGGAAATTTGACAACTGGTAATCTCGACCACGTGTTTGTGTACCCCTCTGACAAATATAAAAGAATACAACACACTTGATGTGGATGTGCAACTTCTTTATTATTTACACACGACGTTTCTGGGCTAATGACTTGCCCTTCATCATTCACCTGATGAAGGGCAAGTATTAGCCCAGAAACGACGTATGTAAATAATAAAGAAGTTGCACATCCATATCAAGTGTGTTGTATTACCCTACCAACTTCTAAATGCCTATCAAAAATACTAATGAATCTTGTTATACTTGTATTATGAAATAAACCCAAACACCAAAAATTGTAATATGTATCGTTTGAACACTTTGTTGCTGTGTACTGATCTACCTGTACTGCTGTCCAGTCCTATGTTATCAAATTCAGGCACTCAGTATGCAAGAACAATATTATCAGTACGAAAGATTTATGTTAAATAAAAACAGCCTCCTGAAATCTTCACATAATTGTTTGATATTGTTTGTCAGACGTTTCAAGTGCACTTTGACATAAATATAAAGGAGATATTTGGCTTTTCTTGTGAAGTACATGTTTGTTTATACTAACAACTTGACTGATATGTCATTTTTACAAGTAGCATAAGACCCCATTGAAATTCAAATCCCTATTCAACCCCCCGGCATATAATTCAGGGGTATAAAGTCGACGCCTCGTCCGTCTGTCTATAATAATTTTGTTTCCAGAGCATAACTAAAAAAAATGTTCAATTTCCTTCAACAAAACTTGGTATATATATCAAACAAATCTTGAAGTGGTGTCTTTTGCTATTTGCAGATTTTTGTCATTTACATTTTTCATGATTTCCATAGAAACGATTTGGACTTAGTCTAAATAAATAGAATTGGACTTTAAGTAACTGTCAAGTTCTTTTAAGTATGTGGGGGTCGGGGGATTTGTCATCTTCTGATGACTCTGTCACAAGTAGTATAAGACCTCACTTAGGTTCAAATCCCTTTCTGGATATATGTGTCCCACGATTTTCTGCAAGACTGATAAAAGACTTTTGTTTTCAGTTCGACTGCAACCATTCTTCAACTCGTCCCTCGGCGTGGTCCTCATTAGTGACAACAAGGAGAGCTACAGCATATGCACCGAAGGCTTCGATGACAAAGCTGCTAATGTTGTGTGTCAGGAAGTTGGGTTTCCAAACGGTGGCAGCACCCTGGGCTACAACCCCTTCATCCACAGCTCCTACAGCATGGGCTTTGGCAGTGTCACGTGTTCAGGAAGTGAGAAAGCTCTAGAATCTTGTGTCATGTCAGAGAAGTACAATTACAAATGTCCATCGGGTGTACCTGCTGTTGTGAAGTGCGACACTGGCAAAGATGAAGGTGAGATGCTTGTTCGGTAATTCAGACTCATTTGGAGATGTTCTGTTGCACCATTCTTGCTCTGTTTTCAAATTGCATTTAAAAACTTACCAAGATTTATAGTAACTTAATTCATAGAAATCTGCCTTCACTAATCCATTGCTTGTCCCATGAGATGACTAATGATATCGGGTAGTCAGGCTTGCTAACTTGGTTGACACATGGCATCATATACCAATTGCATAGATTGATGCTCATGCTTTTGATCACTGGATTGTCAGGTCCAGGCTTAATTATTTACAGACCGCCATCATATAGCTGGAATATTGATGAGTGTGTCATTAAACAACAAACTCACGAAAAACAGGATGTAATAACATCAGTGATTTATTCTTTATGAATGCTACAATTGAACCTGACAATGGTCATATCGTATAGTTGATTCAAGTTTTCTGCAACCAGTGAAGCATGCCCCTATGTCCTATTTTACTGATGTGGAAAAATGTTTTCATCATATTGACTTGAGTCTGTTGTTTTCTTCAAAAGGATGATTTTTTTTATATTTCTACCTTCTAGTAACAGACTGGAAAATACGTACTGAGGAAAACAAGGTGCTGGTGTCAAGGTTTGGAGTGTTTGGTGAAGTCTGCTCTGATGGATTCAATGATGTCGCTGCAGTATTAGTGTGCAAATCACTTGGCTTCGACTCTGGTGCACCAAGGAAGGTTTACAGCAGTGCAGCTCATTTACCCGTGTGGATGTTTAATGTGTCTTGTTCCGAAACCGACACAGACTTGAAGTCCTGCAGCCATGATGACAGGGTGCATTCTGGGAGCTACTGTAACAATGTTGCTGGCGTCTTCTGCCACAACAAAGGAGACCGTAAGTCTTTTATCACTACCTCCAAGATTTTGGGTAGCCCTGTAATTAAAGCGTTTGCTCATAACCCATACATTCTTGGTTCAAACCCCCACCCTGGTGTCATCCCAAATAACAGTTTTGGACTTTTTAGGTGAGCGAGTGAGTTATAGTGTTACATTGCTTTTAAAAGCATTCTTGTAATATCATGGTTTGGGACACCAGAAATGGGCTGCATACATTGTACCCATGTGGAGAATCAAACCCAGGTCTTCGGCATTACGAGCAAATGCTTCAACTGCTCGGCTACCCTTCCACTTTGAGGAGCCAAATCTGTTGCCAGTATGGGACAAAATACAGATGTCATTAGTCAGTTTAGTGAAGAACGCCATAAATGGTTTAGGTTTGAAATGATTAACTGCTTTGTCATGTGAACACGAAGTGTTTGGCTAACATAACAGGCAGTGTCCACATCAACAAAAATATTTCTTGAATAATTAGTTCAGCTTGTAAATGAAGCTTTCAGGTTCGCCACCTTTTTACCTGGAAGTTTATGCAAGCATGCATCAAACTCTCAAATCAAGTGTTTTAAGCTTCATACTCGCTCGCTCACTTTTATTTTCATACATATTTAGTACCAGATTTTTCATTATGTCTGTCACATAAAACTCAACAGCAATTATTGATGCTTCAACCAAATCATCAGTTACAATGTGTTTCTTTCAGTGACAACGTACTCCATTGAAGGCGGAAAAACAAAGAATTATGGCTACCTGATCGGAGAATACAAAGGTTTGAAAGCCACAGTGTGCTCCCCTATATGGTCATCTACCAGTGCCAACGTTGTATGTAAGGAGCTGGGGTTTGCCGCTGGGCAGGCCTACTATGGAGAGACCGACAAACCAGGGATCCAGGATGTTATCGCTGGCCACATCGACTGTGACAGACGAGCAACACTTCTGGACATGTGTCGTACTAAAGACTGGGAGATTTTCAAGGTTGGTGACAACTCATCGGCAAACTACTCCTGCTCACAAGGACCAGTCAAGGTCTTCTGTTACCCTGAATGTGAGTATTTATTGATAGAGGCCTTAATATACTGAGAAAAACAAATTAAGGAACACAGGAAAATTCAAGCGTTCCTTTAATATTTTCCAGTTTTCTTCACCTGCTTTGAATAGCGATGTGGGAGGAAATCTGAGAATAAATAAAGAAACACTGCCACGAAGTGGTGTTCCCTTATTTGTTTCCCTCAGTATATTTGCCATGTTGGGCTTGTAACTTAACGTTTTCAGTTGTGAAATGTGCCCATCATAGTTTGAGCAGAATGTGGGTTAATGTTATGCTTGTACCTATGAAATGTTGAGTATCTGAGGACCCATGACAGTCCAGGTTAGAATTGATCTACAGCAATCCTTGCTTGTCGCAAAAAGAAGATTAACAGGATCGGGTGGTCAGACTCGCTGACTTGGTTGACACGTCATAGCATCCCAGTTGCGTAGATCGATGCTCATGCTCACTGGATTGTCTGGTCCAGACTCGATTAATCACAGAGAGCTGCCATATTGCTGGAATATTGCTAATTTCTTCTTATCCTGACTCAAGATCTTTAATTTATCTCCCTTTCCCTTGCGAATGGTAGTGGAACACTTGAATCCCTTGAAGTTCCCCAAGCGGACGTAAAAATACACTCACCCACGAGTTACCTCCCTTTTGCCCTTTCCCACGCAAACAGTCATGTGACCAGCCTTACTTGCCACTCTCTCCCTTTTCGCCCAAGTGGATGGTTGGGCGAGCACGGAGTCCCATATACGGCATTATATCCTTTTTATTTAGATCCTATTCTTCAAAATTGCGCTGTGTATGGATTTGGCAATAACTACTTTGTATTATATGTAAAAAAAAATTAAACATTATTTGTATTTGTGTCATAATTTCATCGTTATGTAACTTTGTTTACATTTCATGAAATCTTGCAGTGTTTGCAGACACAGGTTATCCGTGGCTGATCCTCACCCCCAATGCCCCTTGTGCATAAAACCATGTTCTTCCAGCTTGCGCTGTACTTATTGTGTTGATTTATCAAATCTACAATTTAATCAATATTTGTCTTATATCTATAGACGTGCCATGGATTGGGTGAGGAAGTCATCTCAAGTTACGGCTGATAAAACAGGAGATCAGCCTGCAAACCGTATGTTGCTTGCTACTGCGGAAATTCATAATACTGGTGCTATGTTTAGTACGTTTAGTACGGGCTAAGAAGAGATCGGCTACAACGCAGTTGACTCCGACTCAAGCTAAGAAAAAGACATCATCCTCTTCTACATCGCAGAAGAAAGCATCTGTTACCAGATCGGAGGGTAAATCTACGCTAGCTAGTAAGTCAACACATCAGAAATCCTTCAGCAAAGAGATATTACCTCCACATGAAGTAGACGTTTTTGATGATCCCCCACTACTTCTACCCGAAGTGCCTATGAGATCAGCGACTCAATCGACGTCTACAACTACTAGATCGTCTCCTGCAACGGTCACAGCAGGACAGCTGTTTGATGAACTACCACCTACCTCTCAACGCAGTGAAGTTGAGGCACACAACTCATCAGTGTTCGCAAACGCTTCTTCTACACCGCAGCAGCTTCAACCAATGCAGAACTTTGACCCGGGTGAATATATGAGACAATTCACCAACCAGATGATGACCATGATGGAACGCAGGTTCGAGGAAGAAGCAAAGGCTCGGCGAAGCCTCTCATCTACCGACACCGTGCGCAGACCTACAGATCCGCGCGAACCATACTGACCCGAGCGAACCTACTCCTCAGAGAACTACATCTCAAGACTACGTTGGCGAACGTACACCTTTACGAAGGTCTCCACTGTCGGACGACTCTGTCATCTTGGAGGAGGATAGAAGACATGAGATGCCTACTCATCATTCTACATCTGCGAACCCTGAACGTTCGAGAACATTGAAGGATCCATCTCCTACACCTAGCCGCTCTAGATCAAGATCTCACAGACGTTTGTGAAGTCACTCATCACGAGACAGACGTTCGCGAAAAGAAGGCTCACATCACAGACATTCGCGAAGGGATACATCTAGAGACAGATGTTCACAAAGAGAAAGCTCACGTTCGCGAAGAGAAAGCTCACATCACAGAGGTTCGCGAAGAGATGAATCTACAGATAGAGGTTTGCGAAGAGATGAATCTACAGATAGAGGTTTGCGAAGAGAGGACTCTCAAGATAGACGTTTGCGTAGGGACGAATCTTCAGACAGAGGGTTTGCGAAAGGATGATGAAGGTTCGACAAGGGATACAGGTTCGTAGATGGATGATACGCGGAGGCCTTGCTCTAATAATCAGGAGACATTGGATGAGCAAGCGGACTTCGTCTTCCCAGACGCAGGGGTTACAGCTTGGATTGTCAACGGGTTGAACTTGGAGTCTCCTTCTAAGGATAAAGATGAAGTCTACACTTATATGATGCGTAACGACGACTTTGACTCCGTCACTATCCCTCCAATTGAACCTATATCCAGGGTACCCTCCAACTTTTGCACAGCTTTCGTGAAAGCATCCAAGTACCAGAGTCAGCATCTGCCATCATTTAATGTGAAGAGATTCCATCTACATCATATGGATCCATTTACAAAAGCGCCAGAATGGGATGATAACATAAAGTTAGTCAACGACTCACGGAACAAGGTGTATAAAGTAGAAGATAAAAAGTTCTCTCACCTTGTTACTGCTACAAGGAGATCCTCCTTCGGGTTGGCCAGATCCAGAGCTATCAATGAAGCATTGATCAATAAATTCCAGAACTTAAGTTCGGAAGAGGACAGAATGATATATTCAGCGCTCATAACTTAGAAGAAGGACCAATACTTTTTATCAGACCATCTGGCATCTATATCTGCAGGTCTCACTTTACTACGCAGACAAGGGCTACTTGCATCCTGTTCATGGAGTGACAGATTCACCCAACCGCTACTGAGAGCTCCATGGAAGGCGCCCTACTTTCTTTGGAGGACAAATAGAGGATGCAGCTAAGGAAGCTGCGCACGACTCTAGAGAAGTTATGATGATAAAATCCATAGATACTTTGGCAAACGTCATCCGTCATACTTCGCAAAAGTGTAACAGCAAGTCCAAATATTCCGGCATACAGAAGGCAAAGGAGAACAAGTACTCCAGCTTCAGAGGCTTACTCGTTTCCAGCCCCGATATTACTAACGAAAGTTCTGCTGAAGATCAAACATACACAGGCGCTACAACTGACTTTGGTCGCGCCATACTGGCCACCAAGAGTATGGTTCCTAGACCTAATAGAAGATCTGGGAAGTCCAACAATCAAGTTACCAGACTGGCTGAACCTACTCATACATCCGCACACCAAGCAAGTCCGAGGGAACCCGACACTGTTCCAGCTACACGTGTGGACCGTATCAAAACATGTTTGAAGAAAAGAGGATACTCCGCCAGGGCAGCCAAGGCAGTAATGCTAGCGTTACGCAGATCTATTCGTAACATGTATGATGACAAGTGGCTGAAGTTTGAGACTTATGCAAGGCGGAAAGGCTTCATTGCAATGAAAGCTACTCATCCTCAAGTGGTAAATACCTGTGTCATCTGAGACAGACCAGACATCTGAAAGGTTCGACATTATCTACATACCTCGCTGCCATCAGTACAGTCATTACCATGAAAACAGGCATCAAGTTGACGAAAGTACCAGAATTACTTGCTCTGCTGAGATCTTTTAAACTGGAGGACCAGCAAAAGAAGTTCAGAGCTCCAGCCTGGGATCTGAATGTAATTCTACGTCAACTTACAAGTGATGCCTACGAACCTCTAGACCAGTTTACCTTCAGACTCTGTTCCTGCTTGGCTAGCCACGGCAGCTCGAATATCAGAGATACATGCGCTGGACTTTGGTCGAACCAGATTCGATATGGGGCAACATGCTGCAGTACATCTAGGACTTAGATGGGACTTCATTGCCAAGAACCAACTACCTGGGCAGCCAGATAGACAGTTTCACGTACCAGCGCTATCTACAATCCTCGGCCCAGAGGATATAGAAGACTTATCCTTGTGTCCGGTCAGAGCCCTGAAGATATATCTTCAAAAGACTGAGACAAGGAGATGAAAATTCAAGCGCCTGTTCATCCCATTATCAACAGAGACATCAGCAGAAGTCTCAAGAACGACGATATCGTTCTGGATGAGAGCCATCATATTGAGAGCCTATAAAGCAGCAGGACTAGAACCTCCAAGAGCTTCCAACCCACACAAAGTAGAGCACTGGCGTCAACTCTGGCTCTGCACGGAAATTGCTCTATATCAGCAATTATGGAGGGCTGCTTTTGGAAGTTGGAGACGGTCTGTGCCAACCACTACCTCCGAGACATAACCACTGAAGACGTCTCAGGCATTCACCAATTTGGGCCTCTCGTTGTAGCACAGCAACTAACGGTTCCTCAAAGGCGCTGAGTTGGAAAATCTCACCCTTTATCACGTTGACTTGTTGATAACATTTACTAAGGAAAAGTATTAGTTTGAAAGTCCATGCGCACAGTCTCGGACAGGCTAGCATGAGTGATTAAAGATCCTGTACGGGTAAAGATCTTACCTGTACGTGAAGGGGTCGCAACTAATTTATGATAAAGATCTTATCATAATCTATGGGTTGTTATAAGATATCTAGTAATAAGAAGATACTAGTTTATCTGAAGCCACATGAATCAACATGATTCAACTTGTCTGAGACTGAAGTAAGACAAGAGAGTGGTCCCCCCGAATTATAACAGAAGTTGGAAGAATAGGATCAAGGCAATGCCGTTTCGCAGTTCCCATGGGGGGGATACAGGGCTTATCGAAGGACAGCTGATGAATCCAGGAAGTGGCCTGACCCACCACCAATCCGCAGGATTCTATAAGCAAAAGATCATGAGTCAGGATAAGAAAAAATATGTAATTTTTCAAGTAAAATTGATATTTTTATACTTATCCTGACTCATGAGGTCATCCCCTCCCAACCTCCCCACTGGAAACACTTAGGATTTCACAGCAGATCCAAGTGCATGGGCAGACAAACAGGAGAGAGTGACAAGTAAGGCTGGTCACATGACTGTTTGCGTGGGAAAGGGCAAAAGGGAGGTAACTCATGGGTGAGTGTATTTTTACGTCCGCTTCGGGAACTTCAAGGGATTCAAGTGTTCCACTACCATTCACAAGGGAAAGGGAGATAAATTAAAGATCATGAGTCAGGATTAGTATAAAAATATCAATTTTACTTGAAAAATTACATTTTGAAAAAACTGCAGAGAATTATGAACCCACTGAAGCCCCCCTCTGGATCTGCCAATGTTCTCAGTTTATTTTTTCCTGAGAATTTTAATATGTGATTAATCTTAAGCTGAAGAGAACCAGATGAGCAGAGTCATGTCCCTAATTGCTGTGGTACATCCAGAAGTATATGTGGTTGTTAGCATATTGAAAGATCTTGGTAACTGTCTGTGTTTAACTAGGATCACTCGGTATTAATCCATATCATCTTGTTTCAGTACGCTTGCATACAGGCTTCTTCAACAAGACTGGTATCGTACAAGTCCCAGTTGATAATGAATGGTCAGCTGTTTGTTCGGATGGGTTTGATGACAAGGCAGCCAGCGTCGTGTGTCGGCAGCTAGGACTGTCATCTAGTGGAGTAGCCGAACAGCTGGCTTTCAATGGCTACTATGCTGGCATGTTCTCTCGGGGAAATGTGTCGTGCACAGGGACCGAGTCGTCACTTCTCATCTGCAGTAAAGAAATATCCCGATATGCCTGCGCATCTGGCAGACCAGCAACTGTGGTGTGTACGGACTCCACTGATGGTAAGTCATAGTTATCAGTTTGGTGATGGTAACATACAGTGGTTGGAAGCCATGATGATGCTATTTGACCGAAGATGTTGATGAATTACGGTGGTAAGCCATGAAGATAGTATGCTATGTTTGTAAGGATACAATGGTAAGATACAGTGGTACCCTACTTACATGATGTAGGGTAAACTACAGTGGTACTTGATCATGATGAAGGTAAGCTACAGTGGTAGTCGTTCATGATGAGGGTAAGCTACAGTGGTACTTGATCATGATGAGGGTAAGCTACAGTGGTAGTTGATCATGATGTGGGTTAGCTACAGTGGTACTTGATCATGATGAGGGTAAGCTACAGTGGTACTTAACCAGGATGAGGGTAAGCTACAGTGGTAGTTGATCATGATGAGGGTAAGCTACAGTGGTACTTGATCATGATGTGGGTAAGCTTCAGTGGTACTTAGCCATAATGAGGGTAAGCTACAGTGGTAGTTGATCATGATGTGGGTAAGCTACAGTGGTAGTTGATCATGATGAAGGTTAGCTACAGTGGTAGTTGATCATGATGAGGGTAAGCTACAGTGGTAGTCGGTCATGATGAGGATAAGCTACAGTGGTGGTCGGCCATGATGTGGGTAAGCTACAGTGGTAGTTGATCATGATGAAGGTAAGCTACAGTGGTAGCTGATCATGATGAAGGTAAGCTACAGTGGTAGTCGGTCATGATGATCGTAAGCTACAGTGGTAGTTGATCATAATGAAGGTAAGCTACAGTGGTAGTTGGTCATGATGAAGGTAAGCTACAGTGGTAATCGTTCATGATGAAGGTAAGCTACAGTGGTAGTTGGTCATGATGAGGGTAAGCTACAGTGGTAGTCGGTCATGATGAAGGTAAGCTACAGTGGTAGTTGGTCATGATGAGGGTAAGCTACAGTGGTAACTGATCATAATGAAGGTAAGCTACAGTGGTAGTCGGTCATGATGAGGGTATGCTACAGTGGTAGTTGATCATAATGAAGGTAAGCTACAGTGGTAGTTGGTCATGATGAAGGTAAGCTACACTGGTAGTCGGTCATGATGAAGGTAGGCTACAGTGGTAGTTGATCATGATGAGGGTAAGCTACAGTGGTAGTTGGTCATGATGAGGGTTAGCTACAGTGGTAGTTGGTCATGATGAGGGTTAGCTACAGTGGTAGTTGGTCATGATGAGGGTAAGCTACAGTGGTAGTCGGTCATGATGTGGGTGAGCTACAGTGGTAGTTGATCATGATGAAGGTAAGCTACAGTGGTAGTCGGTCATGATGTGGGTAAGCTACAGTGGTAGTTGATCATGATGAAGGTAACCTACAGTGGTAGTTGGTCATGATGTGGGTAAGCTACAATGGTACTTAGCCATAATGAGGGTAAGCTACATTGGCACTTAGCCATGATGAAGGTAAGCTACAGTGGTAGTGAGTCATGATGAGGGTAAGCTACAGTGGTAGTTGGTCATGATGAGGGTAAGCTACAGTGGTAGTTGATCATGATGAAGGTAAGCTACAGTGGTAGTTGGTCATGATGAGGGTAAGCTACAGTGGTAGTTGGTCATGATGAGGGTTAGCTACAGTAGTAGTTGGTCATGATGAGGGTAAGCTACAGTGGTAGTTGGTCATGATGTGGGTGAGCTACAGTGGTAGTTGATCATGATGAAGGTAAGCTACAGTGGTAGTCGGTCATGATGTGGGTAAGCTACAGTGGTAGTTGATCATGATGAAGGTAAGCTACAGTGGTAGTTGATCATGATGAGGGTAAGCTACAGTGGCACTTAGCCATGATGAAGGTAAGCTACAGTGGTAGTCGGTCATGATGTGGGTAAGCTACAGTGGTAGTTGGTCATGATGAGGGTAAGCTACAGTGGTAGTTGATCATGATGAAGGTAAGCTACAGTGGTAGTTGATCATGATGAAGGTAAGCTACAGTGGTAGTCGGTCATGATGAAGGTAAGCTACAGTGGTAGTATGTCATGATGAAGGTAAGCTACAGTGGTAGTTGATGGTGGTAAGCCATTAAAATAGTAAAGCTCTATTTTGTGAAGAAAGTATTGCTTTCATGATACACTGAAGGATAGCCACTTGACTTTATAGATCTAACTAATGTTTATTCAGATTTAATTTAAAGTATGTTGGCTTGTGATTGAGGTTTAGTCATTTTAGATGAATTGAGTAATTGAATAATAATAATGATAATAATGCTAAGTTTTGCGCCTTACATTATTACCCTGACGGAATTGTACTTTCAAAGCTGCTACTAAGTGCTTCGCGCGACCATATAGGTCTGTACATCCGCTTTCTCAGGTACCCATTTTTAATATGACAGAAGAGTCTAAAACCCTGTACCTCCTGAAAATTATATAAAATTATGTTGGTGACATTTTGACCCTGGCTAAAATATAAGTAAAATAACATGGGTTTGTTTTTGATCTTCAATAATGTGTTTATATATTATCCCTTTCCAGCATCAATAAAGGTCATTGGTCATGATAAAAGAGGTCTGGTAAAAGTCACCAAGTATGGCATTAATGGAACCGTCTGTTCCTCCGGCTGGGATGACGTGGATGCCAGTGTGTACTGCACGGAGCAGGGGTACGAGGCCGGGTTCAACAACAGCCAGTATTCTTATGGGGACCAGCCCCAGTGGATCTCTAGTGTCGAGTGTACTGGGTCCGAGAAGTCCCTGCTGGATTGTCCCTTCGCCACAAATGTTTACACAGACAATTGCGAGAGGGATGCCACTGTTTTCTGCTACAATAAAGGAGACCGTAAGTTTCAGATTTAGTGCAGAAAGTTATATCATTCCTCTGATTTAGCTAAGGGTGGTGGGGTAGCTGTTTGGTTATACTCACTCACTCACTCACTCTTAAATTTGCTTTTGAAGAGTTAAAATGTGGAGATGATGTTGTTAGCAATGACGCAAGGGATGCAGGCAGCTGTGAAATACTGAAACTGAAATACTGGTCGAAGTGGTCGCAAACCTGACACATACTAGCTCAGCTCATTAATGTGCCTTTGCATTGTACATGATTAAAAACTCATTTATAACCCGTTTTGTATCTATTTGTGTGGTTGGATAGACTATTTTAATTTTCACCAGTTTGCACTTATGAAGTCTATTCACTTTGATCATGTTTTGGAAATACCTTGGGTTAATGTAACAAGAATATCATCCGAAAGTGATATATGAAAATATATCATGTTACCTTACTTTGATAACTGCTGTAATTTCATCCATACAGCGATATTATAAACATTGGTTAAATGGTCCATGAAACTTTGTTTTTAATCAAATGTTTTGTGCATATGTATATTTTACTTTTCAGTTGCCCAATACACACTGACCAAGCAGCCAGAAGGACAGGCCCAAGTTGGACAGGTCGAGGCCACTAGAAATGGAGCTACCTATCCCGTATGTGCCCCGGGTTATTTTGCCAACACTGATGCCTCCATTATGTGCAGGAGTTTAGATGAAGGGTTTGTTGGTGGACAGAGATACGATGGGAACATGACAATGTCTGGCAGTGCTGACACCTACTGGTCAGTCTCCATGACCTGTAGCGGGCAGGAGAAGCTAGCCGACATCTGCATCACTGATTGGAGCATCATATCATCAAAGGAAAACAGATCTTGTCAACCCGCCCAGGTTGAATGTTACCGTGAGGGTGAGTAATCATATGTTGATGTTGTTGAAAATTAGACGAGTTTGCCACTTGAAGGCTGAGATTGTTAGTTGTGATAGTTCCTCTGGAGGTTATATCAGGTGTGTTGACCCATGCAAATATATACATGTCTATGTTTTCTTACTAGTTATCTGTCTTAGACAATTATTCCTGGCTGAGGGGCAGTTGGATAGCCTAGTGGTTAAAGTGTTCACTCATCATGCCAAAGACCGAGTTTGATTCCCCACTTGGGTACAATGTGTGAAGCCTTTCCTGGTGTTTCCTGATGTGATATTGCTGGAATATTGCTAAAAGCAGCTTAAAACTAAACTTACTCACTCCTTGTTGACATGACAATCCATGATTTTATATGGTAAGATTTACAATGGCTTCGGGGACCCACTTTGTCTATGTATTGATGATGTTGGTTTACATTTTAACTGTTGTGGAGGCAGGTATTTGATGCTAAACAATTTTGTTTCCAGTGCGCCTGTACCCCAACAGCTTGGATTCTGTTGGCACCCTGGTGGTCAGGAATGACAATGGCTGGAGCGCTGTCTGCATGGATGGGTTTACAGAAACCTCAGCCATGGTTGCATGTATTGAGATGGGATACGCTGGCGGGACAGTACTAACATCAAGCTACCCTGCGGCAGGATACTCCAAGTCATTAAAAAATGTCAGGTGCACCGGGTCAGAGAAGTCCTTGAAACACTGCCCCGAGAAGTGACAGATTCCTCATGCAAGGATAACAGAGAGGCGGCAGTGTCTTGTTACAGGAAAGGCAGTGAACCAGGTGAGTGATGATGATGATGATGATAACTTCAGGGTATGATACTATTTCCTGTCTTCTCTTTACCTATATCGTTTTGGTACAGTCTGTGTTGTGGACTCACCCACATGGTCTTCTTGTCAACCTCCTGTGTGTAGATATTGTGGAACAGCCTTCTCATGATTCTGTTTGTAGCCATATTGTGACTAATCTTTTGTTCAATGGCCAATTCATCACAGACTACCGCTTTGAATGCCATTCTTGGTATTATTGTCAACCATGTCAAGTACAACTCAAACATTTTGTTAATTACAGACACTCAGAATTACAGACAATTACACTCAGCTAATTACAGACAATTACACTCAGCTAATTACAGACAATTACACTCAGCTAATTACAGACAATTACACTCGGCTAATTGCAGACACTCAGAAATCTTGATTTTTCACCTAAATAAAAAATATAGTTATCAATTGACTTGGTGAAATAGTGATGAAACTAAGAAGAGGAAAGAGCACCATAAATGATATCGATATATTGTGTAGGACCTGTTTTTCCTTAGAAGATGAGAGTCAGATAATGTACGACTGCACCATATTTGCGGACATGAGAAAAGAACTCGTTCAAAGAAAACCATGGACATCTATTTATTCACTCTTGCTAAATATATTTTACATGTGTTTAATCGAGAAGAACTGTAAACTCTACCTTACTGTTAAATTGCTTTGAATGTTGAATGTATATGTACAGTGGGACATATGGCCTTTAACACAAATAAACATACTCAACGACTTGGTGAAATGGTGTTTAATGGGTACATTGTTCAGCTTGGTCAATAAAATGTGGATCAATTTTCTATCAAGATATGGATAAGTTCATGCCACTTTGCCATTTTCCACTGACACATTGAGAATGAGCCTGAGACACAGTCTTGGGATTCAAACCAGGTCCTTGTCTAGACAAGCCAAAGTGTTATCCTTAGTGCCATACTGCCATGTCTTTGTCTGGAAATGTATTTAACTGACAGTAGGCAAGAAAAGTCATTGTAGTAGAATTAGTTACCCATTGTTTTGATATTGTCAGAAACTACCAGCATGGCCCCAGCCACCAGCTGCCCCCCGACCTTCCAGTCTCTAAGAAACATGGCATCTTCATGTGATGCTGAAGTAAGCAAGATGCAAAAGGAGGACAAGAAAACATGCCTGTAAGTTTTCTGTCAGAGGTCGATAAGATATACTCTTAAAAAATGTAGGGGAAAGGGAACTTCATTTTTGATTTATGATTGAACAAATTGGGAGATATATCGGAGTAAATCAATGTTGATATGATAATAATGAATGTTTTGAGAGTACATCACCACTTGCACTTCTTATAAAAACCATAGTTGTTTGTCAGTAATTGCTCTTGAAAGATGACTGGTGTATGATGTGAAATTTGCATGAGTGTGATTTTCATTTTCAAACAGAATTGCTAGAAACAAACTTTAACAACTGTGTGATGCAAGATGATTTATCTACCTTCTTGAAAACGGTCAAAGTCAAGAATGACAGCCCATGCACATATACGGGGCTACTGCGTTGTGCATATTGTGTTTAGGGGTGGTACTTTCATAAGTATCTGTCTTTGGAAAGTTTGTTATCGCTTATACTTCCTATCCAAATTGAAAGTCCATGTTACCATACCTGAGTTACTACACATTTATTGATAGGGATATTTATACATGCGATTCATGTGAACAATATCAGACATGTTCCATTTTTTTACAGCAAGACCTGAGATATATTCTTCTGTAATTAAGTCAGTATGACAAATTTGAGTGTAACAAACAATGTTTTTGTAAACTTCAGGTATAACCCAATCGGATACTTTTATTGCAGTGTTTTTATCTTCATAAGTTTTGGAAATTTAACTTTGGTGAAACGCTAAATACCAAGAACTAAAAAAAACACCTAAAACCCCAAGAATGATCCATGTTATTACATGAATATGGTGACACATGTGGTCTCACCTTAGGTAAGTAAGTTTGTTCAAAATTGCCTCTATTCACCCAGCAGAAAATGGGTACCCAGTGGGATAAGTCTTGTGACTGTTAACATTCTAACGTCTCACAAATCTAATGCTGTATGCGCATTTAGAGCATGACAATTTGTCGTGGAGTTCAATACCATATAAGTAGCCTGATATTGCATGCCTTTGGTGTGTTTAGTATTGTGTAGCATGAAAAATTTGGTGTATGGATGCTGACATCATGGTGATGTCTTGATAAACAGCCATCTCCTGGAGGTAGCCGAGTGCCTGGCCAGCAGACAGTGTTCCCTGACTGGATCCTACAAGTGTTCTGCTACAGACTTCATGATGACGTTCAGAAATAACTCTGAAGCCACTAGAGACTGGCTCGGCCTGCAAAATGCAACCCAAGCCTGTGATGGTACGTTCTTGTAGCTCATCTACGCAACATCAGTGTGAACTCATAATAAATGTATCAAACTGTACAAGTTTTAGACAGTCTTCAGTGGAAATATATAAATTGTTGTGAAAATTCAATCACCCTATGATGCTGACAACCATCTCAGTGTCTGTCAGTGGATCGAAATACAAATTATAACAAACCCCCCAAAAGAACCTTTGAAGATCCAGATACAAGTGGTCTTAAGCAACCCATGGTTGTCCTTGGTTGTCACATAGCATTGTATCCCAATTGCGTAGATCAATGCTCATACTGTTGATCACTGGATTGTCTGGTCCAGACTCAATTATTTACAGATAGTTGGAAGACTGCTTGATGGGGTGTTAAATGAGAAACAAACATTCGGAATTGTTGCTTTGGGTTGTTTGTCTAAGTGCTTCGTGTAATCAAATAGCTGGAATAATAGTGTGGCGCTAAATGGTTAATCAACTGAAAAAACTAAACTGTGTTCATCAGGTATGTCAGCCCCCCACAGTATGTGTGAAGATGTAAGTGCCGCCTTCTGCTTCCTGGAGAAATGTGCCTCTGGATCTCTGGAGGAATTCTTCAAGCTGGACGAGCCCGCTAAGTGCAAGTAGGTGGACTGGTCACCCTCAGATCAAGCACATGCCCACAACAATATATATCCCATGCTTCTTATTTTTTAACTTGATGATTCAGAAAACCAGATTTATTATGCTATTTACAGAGTGTCATGTTACAAAGGATTGTCAATGTAAATCAACAAAGTATTGACAGGTACGGCTGGCTATTTATATCGATATCAATAGCATTTCACACAGTGAGTGGTGATACATTTATGCATGCGCTACCGACAAAACAGCGTTTTGAACATAATTTAGAAGCAGCCTATCATTAAAAACCTTGCTTTGTTATTGAGTAAATTAAAATTTTATTCTATCATAAAATATATGTACGATATTATCAATGACATTATTTTCATAGCTAGTGTTTCCCCCAGGGTTATGAAAGGGCAGGGTAGACTCAGAGAAAAAGTTTAAAATTCAAAAGGGCATTCAGCAAACAAAAAAGGCACAACAATTAAGGGTTCAGTAATTTACTGTGGCTGACATCATTTGGGTCTGTTTGGCATGCTTTGATGCAAGTTCATAAAATTATTTGTTCATATTCTCCTCTTCTTTCGTGCCAAGAACTTGGCCACACACTTCCTCAAGTCAATGTCAGTAGAAGACTTAGCATTCATGCTGACCATAAGTAGCTTGGTGCAGTGAAGCAGAATGAAAATGATCAAAGCCGAAATCGCCATGACTTAAATAGGTAGTTTTATTGCACAACAAAAACATCCGGGAAGGGAGCTAACTCCTGCCTTTGTTAAAATCCGGAAAATATTGGATTTTTCAAAGGGCAGATAACGCGGTTATTCAAAAGGGCACAGCACTAAATAAAAAGGGCAGGACGTTGAATAAAAAGGGCAGGGCGCTGCGCCCTGCCAAATATGCCTGGGGGAAACACTAATAGCAGTAATCATTAATAATTTTTCCTAGTGACAATATTTTGATTATAGATCTTTTCACCTAGCCCTATTGACTGGGCCATAATGTAATTGCTGGACGAGTTGCAGCCTTGTATAAATGAGGGGCGGTGGGGTAGTCTAGTGGTTGAAGCATTTGCTTGTCACGGGGAAGACCCGGGTTCGATTCCCCACATGGGTACAATGTGTGAAGCCCATTTCTGGTGTCCCCCCACTGTGATATTGCTGAAAGCGGCGTAAAACCAAACTCACTCACTCACTAGTATAAATGTGGTGATGCTTGTTATGGTCGTCCAAATCTTGAGTTTTATTTGATTCATACGCAGGTGCTGATATTGAATTCCTTATTTCAGTTACCTGTTCAGTATGAGACCATGCCTTCAGACCATGATGATGAACGCCGGACAGAGCTGCAAAATGGAGGAAGTTGTATTTATCATGACCCAGGTGTCGATAAAAAGCTTGGGCTTCGATCCAAAACAATGCCCAATAGGTCAGTTTTCCCACAAGAGTCTAAAACCTGAAATACAATAAATCTTAAATCATCATAATTGAATTAATTGCTGAAATGTTGTAACATTTTGTGGTTCAGCTGACTTTCTACTTGTGAAAGGAGTGGGGTCGGTGTGCAATATTTCTGTAAAAGCATCCAAGGCTTTGCTTTTTTAGGACCTGGTTCATTATATATATATATGTGTGTGTCTATTATTAATATTATGGGCCTCTAATATGGGGTGGTGGTGGGGTAGCCTAGTGGTTAAAGCAATCACTCGGCATGCCGAAGACCCGGGTTTAATTCCCCACATGTGCAATGTGTGAAGTCCATTTCTGGTGTCCCACGCCACGATATTGCTGGAATATTGCTAACAGCGGAGAAATAACATACTCACTCACTCACTCACTCACTCTAATATGGACCTGTTTCATGTGACCCTACTATATTATTTGTCCTTGTATTTTGTATTATTGTAATATATGTCAACAAATTTGGCAGGGGGAAACACAACTGCACCAACAACTCCCAGTACTGTTGATTACTGCTCTGATGTTAGAAACTTCAGGAACTTTGAACAGAACTGTAGTGATGAGATCACAGCGATTCAGAAATCACCAGACTGCAAGTAAGTATACCCTGGCCGTGCACATTGTCTCCTTGGATTTCAGTAACGTGGTACACATCTAATATGTTCATCACTTGAGTTGTTCCTCAGGGTGGTGGGTAGCCTAGTGGTACACATCTAATATGTTCATCACCTCAGATGTTCCTCAGGGTGGTGGGTAGCCTAGTGGTACACATCTAATATGTTCATCACCTCAGATGTTCCTCAGGGTGGTGGGTAGCCTAGTGGTACACATCTAATATGTTCATCACTTCAGGTGTTCCTCAGGGTGGTGGGTAGCCTAGTGGTACACATCTAATATGTTCATCACTTGAGGTGTTCCTCAGGGTCGTGGGTAGCCTAGTGGTACACATCTAATATGTTCATCACCTCAGGTGTTCCTCAGGGTGGTGGGTAGCCTAGTGGTACACATCTAATATGTTCATCACCTCAGGTGTTCCTCAGGGTGGTGGGTAGCCTAGTGGTACACATCTAATATGTTCATCACTTGAGGTGTACTTCAGGGTGGTGGGTAGCCTAGTGGTACACATCTAATATGTTCATCACCTCAGGTGTTCCTCAGAGTGGATGGTAGCCTAGTGGTACACATCTAATATGTTCATCACTTCAGGTACTCCTCAGGGTGGTGGGTAGCCTAGTGGTACACATCTAATATGTTCATCACTTCAGGTGTTCCTCAGGATGGTGGGTAGCCTAGTGGTACACATCTAATATGTTCATCACTTCAGGTGTTCCTCAGGATGGTGGGTAGCCTAGTGGTACACATCTAATATGTTCATCACCTCAGGTGTTCCTCAGGGTGGTGGGTAGCCTAGTGGTACACATCTAATATGTTCATCACTTCAGGTGTTCCTCAGGGTGGTGGGTAGCCTAGTGGTACACATCTAATATGTTCATCACTTCAGGTGTTCCTCAGGATGGTGGGTAGCCTAGTGGTACACATCTAATATGTTCATCACCTCAGATGTTCCTCAGGGTGGTGGGTAGCCTAGTGGTACACATCTAATATGTTCATCACTTCAGGTGTTCCTCAGGGTGGTGGGTAGCCTAGTGGTACACATCTAATATGTTCATCACTTGAGGTGTTCCTCAGGGTGGTGGGTAGCCTAGTGGTACACATCTAATATGTTCATCACTTCAGGTGTTCTTCAGGGTGGTGGGTAGCCTAGTGGTACACATCTAATATGTTCATCACTTCAGGTGTTAAAAGCTTTGCTCATCATGCCGAAGACCCGGTTTTGAGTCCCCACATGGGTACAATGTGATGTTTGACATAATATTGAAGTAAGCTCTGTCTTTGATTGACAGGTATCTTTGACATATGGTTGAAGTAAGCTCTGTCTTTGATTGACAAATATCTATCACATATGATTGAAGTTAGCTCAATCTTTGATTGACAGGTATCTTTGACATAATATTGAAGTAAGCTCTGTCTTTGATAAAAAGGCACTTTGTCTATGACATTATTGAAGTAAGTTCTCCAAGCACCTGGTGAGATTGTTCGAAAAGTCCTGTCACATTGGTCAAAACAAGGAATTATCCTCAAGGCGTTATATTAGTCTGTGTGCACAAGGCCCTTCACAATCCAGCTCCAGAATACCTGACTGAACTAGTGTCATAGTATCAGCCATCACGATCAGTCCCTGCAAAACAAGCAGCAGTGCCCTCTACACGCAGAGCGAGTTATGGTGATAGAGCATTTGGCAAATCAGCTCCTCTGTTATGGAATTTGAAAAACTTGTCAGACATCATTCCATTAAAAAAAGAACTAAAAACAGTTCTCTTCAACAGAGCATTTGACCAATTGCCTTAGAGCAAACCTTGGACTCAGGCGCTATACAAATTTTAACATTATTTTTAATAGGCCAGACCAATTTTATTTATTGTTTTATGGATATTTGTCCTCAGAAAACCTAAAGGCAGGAGGGGAAAAAAAAAAAATCACCAGTCAAAGTAATATTCCTTTCAAATACTAAAAGTATATTTACTTTTGGCAATTTATGAAGTGTATATGGGGCAAAAAATAATGTAAAAACATTTTCTTGCAAATTTTCAGTTTTGGCTGATAAAAATATTAAAATTTTATTTTTTGAGCAGGGAAAAATTAATCTTTATATTTTTTCTTATTCTTGAAAAATACCACATGCGGACCCGTAAAACAAGAAATACAATTGGTCTGGTCTTATAAAAAAAGATTTCAAGATATGTAAGGCTTATAGCATAGCATAGTCTGACTCCCAGGACCTTGTTGCGTTTAGTTGCTGCATACTGCCACGTGACTGAGGTGGTATTCGTGGCCTGTTGTTTCACTCAAACAAGGATGTGTAATTTCCATTGTTATATGATTGATAAATATTCCATATAAGGTAATGGTGTCTAACTTGAAGCAATACAGTAGAAATATTTTCTCTTTGCAGTGAACTGTTGAAAGTGACGAAATGTCTGTCCATTGCGATGTGTAATAATGGAACCCATCTCTGCGGCAATGATGAAATCATGGTGGCTCTCCGCAATGACGAAGACTTCACTAAGAACTGGCTTGGACTTGAAAATTCAAAAGAGAAATGTGATGGTAGGTTGGATTGTGAAATGTGATGAAGATTAATCCAAGGGCCCTGAAACACACATGCCTGGTCGCAGCTGAAATAAGAAAATGTCAGAAGAGCCACATTTTGAAAAATATATCTCAAACAAACTAAACCAAATATGTCACAAATATTTTGGATGGAAAGTAAATAACACTTTCGATATTTTTCCAAATTTGAACATTGGTTATAAATATTCATGATCAATGGCCAGTGCCAAAGCTACAAGAGGGTGGATCTGCACTCTCTCCAAATTCCTTACCTGCAGTACCTATTCATATGTCATGTGTGCATTTCTGTTTCTTTAGGCATGGTTCTCAGTGGTGTCTGTGAAGATGCTGACATTCTCACCTGCCAACTGATGTCCTGCTCACCTGGAACACCTGAACAGTTTGCCGCTTTACCATCAGATCAAAAGTGCAGGTAATTGTCCATATACAGTCCATTTAGTTTCCGACCTGTGAAGATGCAGGGTAGAATAGGTCTTCAGCAACCCATTCTTGTCATAAAAGGCGACTATGCTTGTCGTGAAAGGCGACTAACGGGATCGGGTGGTCAGGCTTCCTGACTTGGTTGACACATGTCATCGGTTCCTAATTGCGCAGATCGATGCTCATGCTGTTGATCACTGGATTGTCTGGTCCAGACTCAATTATTGACAGACCACCACCATATAGCTCGAATATTGCTGAGTGCGGTGTAAAACTAAACTCACTCACTCACTCCCATTTAGTTTCTATGGCTCCTTCCTGTCTAACAAGGCGGTGTGGTAGCTTTGTGGTTAAGGCGTTTGCTCGTCACGCCGAAGACCTGGGTTTGATTCCCCACATGAGGACAATATGTGATGCCCATTTCTGGTGTCCCCCCTCCATGATATTGCTGGAATATTGTTAAAAGCCGTGTAAAACCATATTCACACTGACTCGCTCACTCCCTCCATCCTGTCTTCACAAACTCATTGTGAATGCTTTCTGGTTCACGACAATAATTTGCAACACATCAGGATCAATAACACATTCATCACATGCAAGTTAACTCTCTGATAGAGCCCGAGAAGAATCCAGATTAGAATTGGTGTTCAGTGACCCATTGCTTGTTGTAAGAGGCGACTAACAGGATCGGGTGCTCAGGCTCACTGACATGGTTGACACATGTGATTGTATCCTGAATGCATAGTTTGATGCTCATGCTGTTGATCACTGGATTGTCTGGTCCGGAATTGATTATGTACACAGACGGCTGTCATATAGCTGGAATATTGCTTACTGCAGCGTTAAAACAACAAACACTCTCCAATAGTGTGAGAGATCATAAACTCATACCTTTATAGAATCGTTACCATTTGGATTTGTTGACTGTGGGTGCCAAATACCATAGCTATATGTTGAATCTTGGTCTGTCAGCACCCAAGTATAACACAGATTTCTCTATCTGTAAGTCTAGACTTACTTGGTCATCAATATTCACTAATGGCAGTAGCTACATGATTGAAGGTCAAGGCTGAAATGAAAAAACATGGTCCAAATGACATCATTGAAGCCTATTTCTGGTTCCCGGTCATGACATTGCTGGAATATTGTTAAAAACAGCTTAAAACTAAGACCCGTGAAGATCTGGGGTAGAATAGGTCTTCAGCAACCCATGCTTGCCACAAAAGGCGACTATGCTTGTCATAAGAGGCGACTAACAGGATCGGGTGGTCAGGCTCCCTGACTTGGTTGACACTTGTCATCGGTTCCCAATTGCGCAGATTGATGCCCATGCTGTTGATCACTGGATTGTCTGGTCCAGACTCGATTATTTACAGACCGCCGCCATATAGCTGGAATATTGCTGAGTGACTCACTCACTCACCCACTCGTAAAACTAAACTCACTCATTCACTTGCGAATGCTTTAACTAGTTGAGATGAATTTCACGGAATCCCTTCGATTACTACCACTGATTTGTTCCAGCTCATGGGGTTCCATCACCAGCTGCACACTGTCGGCACTGTCTGCTAAAGGGAAGAAATGCAATGAAGACGGAGTCAGAAAAGTGACTGGTGACATTGCTCTGAAGGGCGTCGGACTGGACGTGACAAAATGTCCCAAATAAAGTAAGACTTTTGCACACTTAAGGATCACAGTCCCGTTTCCCAAAGCTATCATAGAGCTACGACTGCCATACCTCCTACAGTGAAACATACGTAGGACAGTCGTAGCACTACGATAGCTTTCTAAAATAGGGCCCTGACCGCAAGCAGTGATGATGAAATGGAGATCTAACGTACGCTTTTCAACATAATACATATTTCGCACGTGCCAGGCTGGGTGCAAGCTGTCGTTGCATCGTTAAGGACATATCTTGAGAAACAATGGTCAATATTTCTAAGGATACTTGATCTGCAAGGATAAGTATCTGTATGGACTTGAGATGATAAGTGATGTCCAGGCCGTGATTTTCAAAATAAACTCGGTTTGAGAATTTCGAACAGCTTCTAACTCTGTTACATTTCTGAAAACAAAACATAACAAAACAAACCAACTAAAGTGACCTGTCTTCCAAATTTAAATTGTCTGCTAATAGAGTATTGATTTGGGAATATTTCGGGAAATACATATGCTGAGATGTCTCAAATTTGAGGGGCGGTGGGGTAGCCTAGTGGATAAGGCGTTCGCTTGTCACGCCAAAGACATTTGATTCCCCATATGAGTACAATGTGTGAAACCTAATTCTGGTGTCCCCCACCGTGATTTTGCTAGAATGTTGCTAAAAGCCTTGTTAAACCAAACTCACTCATTCTCAAATTAAGTTTTTTGTTTTGAGAAATGAGGGGCAGTATCTATAAAGGCATGTTATGAAAAGCAACGGTTAGTATCAGGATACATTGTTTATTTATATAAGCAGTGGTAGGTATATTTAAAGGTATTTAATGAATAGTAATGTTTAACAACTATATGAAGTACACAATGCCATTTTAGAAAGTGGTCAAATGTAACATATTGGTCTAGAACCCTCAGAAAAATGGGGTAGCCTTGTGGTTAAATCGTTTGCAATTCGTCACGACCGGAGACAAAAAGTACTAGGTTCGATTCCCCACATGGGCACAATGTGTAAAGCCCATTTTGTGGTGTCCCCTATCCGTGATATTACTGGAATATTGTGAAAAGAATGTTGCAGAGCTGTTGTGAACAAACCAAACTCACTTACTCACTGGCCTAGAAGTTGGTCAGGGTGTGCCTGCTATATACTGTAAATACTCCTGCTGAATGCAGTGTTCCACAGAGCCACTGAACAAATTCTATTGAAAAAAACAACCAATGAACCATTTAAAAGATTTAAAGTATAGAATACTATGCTTATATTGAACTCAAAGGGACAACTGTTTTTGTTTGTTATCATTTTTCGTTACGATGTGCATTTCAACTAAATATGGAGCAATTGACGTCAGATCAACAATACATTCCATTATATCTGTCAGTCTGCGTTCACCATCAACTAACACTGTTATCAAGGAGTTGGATTGGAATGTTGCTTGATAACAGTGTAAGTAGCTACATCAAAACTTGCTCATATTATTAATAAAGAGCTTGTATATCCATAGAACTCTTACCTTGTTCATCACATCAACCTCTATATACATGTACCACTCAAAGAAGTTGCTTTCAGCTTGTATATCCATAGAACTCTCACCTTGTTCATCACATCAACCTCTATATACATGTACCACTCAAACAAGTTGCTTTCAGCTTGTATATCCATAGAACTCTGACCTTGTTCATCACACCAACCTCTATATACATGTACCACTCAAAGAAGTTGCTTTCAGCATGTTCATTATTTACATAGTTTACTGTTAATTCTCACACATGTTGTTTCTGTTCCAGGAGAATCCCACCTCAAGAGGAATTTTAAAGAAGAAAGAAAAACAGTTGAAAGTGATATTTACATAATTGTATAGACTAGCATTATCATTGTATATACAGAAAGTACATGTCGGCAGGTACACTTGAGGTACCTGTGTTAAAACAGCATTCCAATCCAGTTGTCCATTACCCAGCAGCCTCTTGATGACTGAATCTCATGATGTATTTCTGAGTCTCAGTTGCTGTCATGACAATGATAATATTAACAAACAGTTGCTTTACAATAATGATACAATGATTCTTAGTGTTACCATGGCAATACAGCGATTTATGTGTTACCATGGCAATGCTGTGATTATGTGTTACCATGGCAATACAGTGAATTATGCATTACCATGGTGATACAGTGATTGTGTTACCATGGCAATACAGTGATTTATGTGTTACCATGGCGATACAATGGTAAGTTACAATGATGATGCAGTGATTTATGTGTTACCATGGCAATAGAGTGATTTATGCGTTAATATTGTGATAATGATTTCATATGAGGTGGGTTTGTTGTTTTGTACATGTGGTCAGAGGATTGGACACAGGTGTAATTGTAAAAGATGGCCTTGTGCTTGTTTGTCCTTGTGTCCTGTTCAAGTTTACATTTTCTGAATATTTTATAGATGTTTCATGTTTTCAGGTCATGAATGAGGAAGCACTTTCCTCAATTTTTACCCATTTGAAATCCATTAATTTCACCTGTGTATAGTTTGTATCATGTTAGTGCTGTTGAAATGAGAACATTGACAATCCTGAAGTTTTACACCAACTACACAGATGCAAAATTGTGTCTTTTACCTCGGTAGGTTGTGCCTGTTTCATCAATGTGATGGTTTCGATCTGAATTATTTTCATTTCAGTAAGGTCAAAGCTGACAAACTTTCAATAGTTGGTCTAGTATTATTTTTGGTTGGGTTTGTGTTTTACCCTTGTTGCTGGTCAACTGATGGGTCAATACAGGCAGCTTTCTGCAGTTCAGAGATATACAGCAATTTATCCAGAAAGTTGTAAAGTGTCTTAAAGTACTTTTATACATTCAAGTTTCTAATGTTGTTGCATAACATGATAAATTTATTGTACATATATTGATGCAGATTTTAGTTCCTATTTGGATGACGTAATACCCGGATATCAAAAGAAAAATATATGTGATCAGTGAATCTATTCTTTGAGGAAGTATTGTACAATTCAGATCAAAGTTTTATGAATATATTTTTATACAATAAACAATAGTTTTACGCACAACTCTGTGTTATTTCATGTTTGCCTTATGATCTCAATGATATTATGTTGAACATGTGACAATATCCATTAAAGTGTCACTATAAGGTGAATATGGAACCATGAAGATCCAGGTTAGGTTGATCATCAGAAACCCATTCTTGTTGCAAGAGGTGACATGGGATCGGGTGGTCAGGCTTGCTGAATTGGTTGACACATGTCATCGTATGCGTAGATCGATGCTCATGCTGTTGATCACTGGATTGTCTGGTCCAGACTCACCGCTGCCATATAGCTGGAATATTGCTGTGTAAAACTAAACTCACTAAGGTGAATAGGTGCTGGAGATACTTCTTGCTATAATAAAATGACACCTTCCAAATTGTGGAAATGACTTGAGTGAATGGTATTTTACGATAGTGAAGTCTTACAGATATTAGTGAAACAGTTTGATGTGATTGTAGGGTAATCTCCCTTAGCTGTCACAGGAACCTGTGTCAATGCTATTTTGTTTTTTCACCGTTAGGGCTGGTTATCGCTATAGATAAGATCATAGACATCGATAATCATTCAGTTGATATTGATTGTTAATCGATAAGTTTCGGAAAAGTAACTTTGATAGTTCCGATTATCTATCTATATTTGGCCAGCCCTAGTTGCCACCAAATGTAACAACTCGGGAGTTGACATCAAAGTTGTACAGATGTTTGAGTAAACTGTGTATATGTCAAGTTGAGTAAAATGTTCAGCGCAAGCATAAAAGAGACGCTCACATAACACGACACGGGGAACAGAGTGGCAGTCAATACATCGGCAACAGCAACATTAATTATTTCAGTTGACTTTCGCCTCATACACAACTGGACCTGTGATTTTCAGTTCTCTCAAATTGTTGGACTGCTTCGCCAGGGACACCATCTTAGCCCTAGTCCTTCTAGAACCGAGCAAACAATATTACACGGGGCGGTGGGGTAGTCTAAATTTAATGGCTGAGAACCCGGGTTCGATTCCCCACATGGGTGCAATGTGTGACGCCCGTTTCTGATGGAATTTTACCAAAGCGGCGTAAAACTATACTCACAATATTACACTTTAGGCTAGTGATTTTCCCGCAACTTAGAATTTTTCCGTCCACAATAATTTGTTTTTTACATTTTGTCCTATGTCAACAGTTAAAATGTCACTACCCATAACCACCAACCCATGATTTTCTACAACCCATGGTGGTCACTCGGACTCTGATCCATTAAAGAATGGGTGGAATATGTGAAGAACCGCGAACACAACAGAACGAAAGTGTTGTAGTTTTTCAAGTGTAAACGTGATTGGAGTTTTCAGTAGTCGGTTTACATGCTGATCTAATATGCATAGCTTCACAGCTACAGTTGTGTGGGTTTGCTCCCCTGTTAACATGTCATACAGATTTTCCGAACAAACATCTGTTAACCCACTGGACCAGTATCGAGTTTTGACAAATATGTCACCAGCTGCAGCTAAACACCTTGCCGCGGCATTAACAACCATTAACAGTATATGTACCTGTGCCAGGTTTTATAAACACCCACGCAGTGAGATGTATGCCTCATGAACCGTCACGCAAGGCTAGCACCAGGTGTTGATATAATCAGAGTTATGTGAACAGGTTCCTAAAACTATTGTTTCCAGACGCACCTGATTGCCTCGATGATATGGCCTTGTGAAACTTTCTTGTGGTTAAAAAGATCCCGGAAAGGCCTTGGTCAAAAGACGCCTATTGCGAATAACAAGAAACGTGTACATTCCTGGAAAGATTAGATCTACTTTATTGTGTTTCTGAGAACCTACCACTATCGATCATCAAGCAACGGTGGCCATTGGGTATCCATATTCAAAAGCGCCGATCCGTAAATCATTTCAGAAATAATGCTGGTACATAAGTTTAGTCTTAAATCACTCAAGACATCCTCGTAAAGTGAGATCGGCTTTAAAAGTAAAATCAAGATTTAATTTAAGGTGAAAGCATTTTGTGAGACCAAATTTATGGTTCTGACACGTTTTGCCGGTTACAAATACAACTGACCCGTATAAGCCATCGGGTTAGAATTCGTCTTCAGCAACCCATGCTTGTCGCAAAAGGTCACTAACGGGATCGGATGGTCAGACTCGCTGACTTGGTTAACACATGTCATCGTATCCCAATTGCATAGATCGATGCTCATGCGGCTGACCACTGGGTTGTCTGGTCCAGGTTAGATTATTTACAGGCCGCCGCCATATAGCTGGAATATTGCTGAGTGCGGCGTAAAACAACAAACCAACCAACAACCTTGAAGTGTTGAACACGTATCCCTCACCCTGTGCAACGTGTCATTCCGTTTCTGTAGTCCCACGCAGATAGAAAGGACGCGATCTTGTTCAAAAAGGAAGTACAGTAATAGCCTATAGGAGACGGGCACATACTTCTATCAATGATGGTAATGTTTACAGAAATTGTTCATCCCTTGGAGGTAAATAACGATGACGCCAAATGACGTCTTCATGGACCAGGATAAAGAACCAGCATAATCTTGAACAAAGACTTTGACTACACTTGCGTTTGCTGTCGCGTCAAACTGAACTGAAATTCTTTCTTTTACAACACAAGGGTGATGAGGTAGCCTAGTGGTTAAAGAGTTCGTTCACCATGCCGCAGATCCGGGTTCGATTCCCTACATGAGTACAACGTGTGACGTCAATTTCTAGTGCCCCACGCCATGATATTGCTGGAATATTGCTAAAAGTGGCGTAAAACTAAACTCACTTAATTACTTACAGACCAAGGTTCCTAATTGCTATGGATATGAGAGGCGCACGTAACATGTGAAGATCCTTGATCGATTCTGGAACTTACATAATCATAATCCTCTCAATGAAGGTTATCTTTCAGTAACCCATGCTTGTCGTAAGAGGCGAATAACGGGATCGGGTGCTCAGGCTCGCTGACTTGACTGATACATGTCATCGTACCCAATTGCGTAGATCATTGCTGATGATGTCAGTCACTGGATTGTCTGGTCCAGACTTGATTATTTACAGACCACCGCCATATAGTTCCCCGACCGCGTCATACCAAAGACGTTAAAATATGGTACTTGTTGGTCCCTGCCTGGCGCTCGGCATTAATGGGTACAACAAGGACTGGTCGCCTCGGAGTGAGTATACTGTGTCTGAGTGGGGCATTCATGCTTCACTGCGGCATGGTATGTCAGTGGGCTAGCACTATAAAACCAGCTTAAGTCTGGGCTAGTACAAGCAGCCGCGCATACACATACACACGCAAGCACGTCATCATATGAGCGAAATATTCTCAAGCACGACGTTAAAGTCAATTTCACCTCACCTCACCTCACCTCACCTCACCTCACCTCGCCTCACCTCACCTCACCGCCATATAGCTGGAATATTGCTGAGTGCTGCGTTAAGCAACAAATGAAGATCATATATGCCCTTTGTTAACCGTTGTGTGACACCTGCTTTATAGGGTGCGGTGGGGTAGCCAAGTGGTTAAAGCATTCGTCAAGCCGAAGATCCGGGTAAGCCTTAGTCTAGGGGCGGTGGGGTAGCCTAAATTTAATGGCAGAAGACCCGGTGTGATTCCGCACATGGGTACAATGTATTAAGCCCATTTCTGTGTCCTTCGTCGAGATATTGCTGGAATATTGCTAAAAGCAGTGTAAAACCATATTCACACTCACTCACTCATTCACTCCTGTCTTCACAAACAAAGCTGCGTAAAACTAAACTCACTCACTTGGTTTTGCAAGTCTCAAACACCTTCAGTAATACATGTTTATACCTGCTGCAGATGTCGTTGTCTCATACCACGGAGGGAGCGTCGCCACTCCACCTCCTCGAACACGCTGTGATATATGGTTCTGATGTTGATTACACTGAAACCTGTTTGAATGTAAATACAGGTGTAGCAAGCAAGGTGCGTGGCCACTTAAAATGTCACAAATGTGGATTTGTGTTCTTGTATTTTCCACGCCGTATATGGGGCAGGTTCTGCTGAACTAAGTCCCCATTAATCCATGCTTCTCGCATGTGGCAGATAAGAGACCATATAATAGATTATCTGGGCAGATGTATATATGGAAAGCTATCTGCTGTAGGAAGATGAACGTGGATAGTTAACTGATGTAGTATGATGAACGTGGACAGTTAACTGATGTAGGAAGATGAACGTGGACAGTTAACTGATGTAGGAAGATGAACGTGGATAGTTAACTGATGTAGGAAGATGAACGTGGATAGTTAACTGATGTAGTATGATGAACGTGGACAGTTAACTGGACAGTTAACTGATGTAGGATGATGAATGTGGACAGTTAACTGATGTAGGAAGATGAACGTGGACAGTTAACTGATGTAGGAAGATGAACGTGGACAGTTAACTGATGTAGTATGATGAACGTGGACAGTTAACTGATGTAGGAAGATGAACGTGGACAGTTAACTGATGTAGGATGATGAACGTGGACAGTTAACTGATGTAGGAAGATGAACGTGGACAGTTAACTGATGTAGGATGATGAACGTGGACAGTTAACTGATGTAGGAAGATGAACGTGGACAGTTAACTGATGTAGGAAGATGAACGTGGACAGTTAACTGATGTAGGAAGATGAACGTGGACAGTTAACTGATGTAGGAAGATGAACGTGGACAGTTAACTGATGTAGGATGATGAACGTGGACAGTTAACTGATGTAGGAAGATGTCCGTGGACAGTTAACTGATGTAGGAAGATGAACGTGGACAGTTAACTGATGTAGGATGATGAACGTGGACAGTTTACTGATGTAGGAAGATAACGTGGACAGTTAACTGATGTAGGAAGATGTCCGTGGACAGTTAACTGATGTAGGAAGATGAACGTGGACAGTTAACTGATGTAGGATGATGAACGTGGACAGTTAACTGATGTAGTATGATGAACGTGGACAGTTAACTGATGTAGGAAGATGAACGTGGACAGTTAACTGATGTAGGATGATGAACGTGGA